CGACGGGGCCTGAACGGGGCTAGCGCGGGGCCGATCGGGGCCTGAATGGGGCTAGCGCGGAGCCGATCGGGGCCTGAATGGGGCTAGCACGGGGCCGACGGGGCCTGAACGGGGCTAGCACGGGGCCGACGGGGCCTGAACGGGGCTAGCACGGGGCCGACGGGGCCTGAACGGGGCTAGCGCGGGGCCGTCAAGGGGGGCCTCTAGGGTCGTGACACAGTCGAGGCGCCCTAGGGCACAAATAGGTAGGTAGGTAGGTAGTTAGGTAGGTAGTGGTGGGCCCTTAAAAATTTCGGTCCTAGGAAGGACCTGCTCTATACCATGTTGGAATAACTGAACAGGAATGAATGAACTAACAGTAAAATGAGTACAAGTACCTAGCCCTAGAATTGTGTACCCCCTATAAGCTAACCCACTGTAGCCTAAATAAGCACAACATATATAATGTTTGACATTGTCAACTACGTGCGCCGGTTCGTCCCCGACATGGCAAAGTTGACTGCCCCGTTGACTGACCTGCTGAGGAAGGGGGTTGAGTACACGTGGGGGGAGAAAGAGCAAGCTGCCTTCTCCGCCCTCAAAACTATTTTGTGCTCACCGCCCGTACTTCACATCGCAGATCCGCATCGTCCGTTCGAGCTCGTCACCGACACTAGCGACACCGCTGTGGGAGCAGTACTGTTGCACAACTTCGGGAACGGCCTTCAGCCAATCGCGTACGAGTCCCGCAAGCTTCACCCGCCCGAACGCAACTACCCAATACACGACCGCGAGATGCTGGCGATCGTGCATGCGTTCAAGGTGTGGCGATGTTACCTCACGGGAGCAGACGTGACAGTACGGACAGACCATTGATCCCTACAGTACCTCCGCGCCCAACCGAATCTCAACCCACGACAGATCCGCTGGTTGGACTATCTGGAGTCCAATTTCCACTACACGGTCACGTACAAAAAGGCGCATCCAACATCGCCGACGCACTCACATGCCCCACCGCCCAACTCCACGCCATCCTACTCGCCCAAACCAACCCACTGTTAACAGGCCTATTCACCCACGGATACAGTAGCGACCCATCTTTCACGACCGGAAATTCACAGCAACTGGCAGAGGCCAGAGGAGTCTATTACGTAAAAACAGGCACCAACCGCATCTGGATACCCGCGTATTCACTACAGAGGGAACTGTTACAGTAGGAGGCACACGACGGGATTCCCTTAGGACATTTCGGGGTAGAAAAAACGCGACAGCAACTGCAGCGGTATTACTACTGGCCGGAGCTGTTGACCGACGTACAGCTCTAGGTGGGCTCGTGCCCTACGTGTGAGGTGATGAAGAGCTCACGAAAAAGAAAGGCGGGTCAGTTGCAGCCGATTCCACCGCCTGAGCGCGCCTGGCAGCAGGCTACCATGGATTTTGTCACAGGGTTACCTTCGAACCCTAGGGGTAAAGACGCGGTTATGGTCGTCGTTGACAGGTTGACAAAGATGGCACACTTCGCTGCGTGCAAGAAATCGATCTCAGCCGAAGAAACCGCTCGCATGTTCATCGCAGCCGTCGTACTTTCTTATCAGATACCAGCCGCGATAATCAGCGACCGCGACACGAAGTTCACCAGCAACTTCTGGAAGAACCTCTGGGAGCAGTTCGGGACAAGGCTACAGTTCAGCTCGTCGTACCACTCTGAGACCGACGGTCAAACGGAGCGGACGAATCAGACAACGGAGCAGTTGATTCGTGCCACGTGCGACGACCCGACCACTTGGGAGCAGCGGCTGCCGCTGATCGAGTTCGCGTACAACAACGCCACGTCAGCGACGACGCAGCAGTCCCCCTTCTATCTGAATTACGGGCAAAACCCTACAGTGCCCATGACGCCGAGTCCGGACAACCCAACACCACGTGCACAACAATTCGCCGAAATTATGCAAGCTGCCTGTACCAGAGCCGCAGAAGCGATTAAAAAGGCCAACGTCATTGCTAAGCGCAACGCTGACTGCCACCGCCGCCCAGTCACGTACCACTCAAGAGATTACGTACTGCTCGACACACAAAACTTAAGACTGCTCGTCGTACCGAAATTACGACCCCGCTAGTGTGGACCATTCCAAATCAGCCACATGATTACCCCGGTAACAGCTCACCTTCTGTTGCCGACAGACTGGTACATCAGCCCTTCGTTCCACGTCAGCTTGCTTCGTCCATACATCCCAACCACAAGCCAACTGTCTCGCCACCGCCCGCCATCCATGACTCGCCCTGCATCGGAGCCGATCATCGAGCTCGAAAAATCTAGAGCCATCGGATTCGACACCCCACGGGAATCAGAAAGATTGAATTCCTCGTTCGCTAGAAGGATCGCACGCCAACTGAGGACAGCTGGGTGCCCTCGGCCAACATCGAAAACCACCCTGCTCTTCAAGTGTACCTGAGGAGCCGAGGCTTCCGCGATATACACGCACTCGCGTAGCGGAGGGGGCTTCTTGAGGGGGGGATAGTGTAAGGAATTTTCTCGATATTGCTTAGCTCACCCTGCAACATCGCGTACAGCAGCAGCCGTTGTTCGCCCGTTACTGCTAATGGGGCTTCGCCGACTTCACGCGCACTGTTTCACCAAACCCCGCACTGCTGGCCTGGCCCTGTTGGCCTACGCTTCGGGACTAGCCCGAGCCTCGCTTCCAGCGTAGCACTAGGTAGCTCGCACGCACCGCGTTACCGTTTGCATGTTTCGCGTATAAATGTTCGCTCACGCCTTCGCTCACATTTTGTACTCGTTTGACACCTTAGTGCAATTCTCGCTACTTCGATTCATTGCACCCGTAACACGCGTACAATTCCAACTTTTCGGAATTCAAGCTAGGTCCGTCGATCTCGCCTTCCGAACGTCCTCCGCGTCGCCTTCGGGTTTCCCAACCCCAAACCTGCACTCAACCTTCGTGCGACTCCGCGACCTCGGCCTAGCTAGCTTTGCTATATATTGCCTAGGCCTCGTTGTTTGCTCAGTAGTTGTAATCACTTCCGCGATATTGCATTCTGCGCACTCTTCATTCGTACAACTCATAACACTTGTAGCTCTATGTTACCAAGTCATAGAAAATGGGTTTGATGAACAGGACACGGTTACAAAAGGTCGTCACTTCCCACCGGAATTCATCACAAATCATGTAGTTGACAAGCCGACACTCGTCAGAGTCGTCGCAAGTCGTCGACAGCACACCGACACAGGCGAGGGAAAACAGTGATTTGCGGTTCCTCATTGGTGACGGAGGTCGATGCGACTGAAGCGCGGCTTGAGCGACCGGATGTCGGATTTGGGCGATGAATGCGACGCGCACCAAGTTATTCATCCGCGTTGACAACGCGCTCGCTCAAAGCCCAGACTGCGCGAACTTTCGTCTTGCCCAAACTGCGCGACACTTTCGTCCAGCCTAGAATATATCATGCGACTTCAGCTCCACACTTCACCACCCTGCGATAGAAAACTTCATTCTCAAGCTTATCCAAGCTAGAAACACCCTGGCGATTTTAGTGAAGGTATTTTAGATTGTCCTTGTAGCTCCTACTGCCATTAACTACTTCCCTAGATCACAAACTTGTGCGATCGATTCTCCGTCTCCGTTGAGAAGTAATCACTTTCAGCTGGACGTTACCCGAGTCGTTCCGAGATTTGTATCCTCGATAACAGGAGTGTTACTGGATAGCTCACACATGAACACCCTAGCGAGCGCCATGCAGTTGTGGGAGGAAACGGAGCTCGTTCCGTTATCAGTTCGATGGGAAACAGACTTGCCGGCCACCGTCAGCATCGCCGTTATATCTCTCGAGAATGACCAACCGTTAAAGAAGATCGTCTCACCTGCTGTTAAGGATCTCAACAGACGGTTTTCAGGCGCCGCGTCGTTTCTCGTAGACGCTTCCTTGCTCCGACCGTCGCTGCCACGAGAACTGCCGCAGCAGCAGCTGCAGCAGGGGGAGCAACAGCTGCAGCAGACGCAGCAGTTGAAGCGGCAGCAGTATCCTCAACTCTTCATCGATTTCTACTCCTGCCCGAGGCCCCTAGATTCCAGACTGCTTGGCCGTGCGACGATTCCCCTTGAAGGAGTCCTCGCTAGTCAATCAGAAAAGGGCTCGTACGACGTCGTTCAACCCGGCGAGATCGCCGGGCGACAGAGCAACAGTCGTGGAATCGCACAGGTGCATGTGCGATTAGGCAGCGCAATTCCCCTGCCTCGGCGAGGGCAAGCAGATCACCAGAGATTAGCCAATGTGCAGTCGATAATGAACCCCGCATGCTTCGCGCTCCCGGCGACTGTTTTTCGCGAAACTTTGCAAGATCGTCGCCACAGCGCGAATCACGCTCACGTGCGAACGCGAAACGGTCGCAACGAGTTGGGTCTTTCCAATGCCGTCAATCTAAGGCAAGTCGAATATCGTCAAGAGCAGTCGAGGAGCGGTGCCGCGCAGGAGGCGGCGAAATCAGGAAAAGAAAATGTCCCACCGGTGGTTGTCATTTGGAACCCGGACGGCATGCTCGAGGGATTAGGTTTCCTGGTCGTCGGCGCGTGAAAGCGCAGGAACAGGTTGTGAGTCGATTACATGACATGGTCCAAGCTATGAGCCATCTACCCGTGACAAGCAAGACGAGACGACACAAACTATTAGGTGAAGGGACGTACGATTCGGGGATTCTGGGAGGCATCAACCCTAAACACGGGAGCTTGCATGGTGTTTATGGTTGATACCTCCTTATGAAGCTTGTCATGTCGGAGTGTTTAGGAGTGTCGGTTGAGAAACAGCTTAGTTCTATACCGAGCATATCTACACTTGTATAGCGTATTTGGCTTGGCCCTACTCCCGTATTAATGTGTGTAGCATTTTAGGAGTCTTACATCTGATCCCAAAGACATTCATATATTTGCCCTTTCATTACATTCATGGTTGCTACTACACCACCACTGCATAATGTTGCACTTCATCTAGTGCCAAGCCCCCCCTACAACTCATAACCCACCACTAACCCTAAACAGTCCCCCAGTGTAGACAATATCAGAGCACACAAGCAGGCGGTTGTGACAGTAATGAACGGAGGAATTCGCAAGGGCGACGCCAGTAGGGAACGGCAGCGGGAAGCCGGATCGCAGGCGGTGATTCAGCAGAGGGATGAGGACGGAGCGAGAGAGAGCAGACACTATAGCCTGGAGTATATGAGTGGGGATATTGCCGACCAAACTCCACTCCTCCTGCGCTTGAAACTTGACGAGTTGCACTGAAGCGGTGATATTGCTGCCATCCACAGCAGCCGTTGCTGCGCACACAGCAACCATTTTCACTCCAATCACATCGGTCTGATTCCATGTCTCCCCTGGTAACACAGTTACCGTAAGCAGCGCGTCGACCTCCAATCCGATCCCGCCAGGTGTCAGCGTGGCGTTGGGCGGCTGACTGGCGTTGACTCGGAAGACCAGGTCGGCGTCGGGGTATTCGTGGAACATTTTGGGAAGGATCCAGCGCCACCCCTTGGTGTTGAGAAGCTTCCAGGGGAAGGAGTCTGGGAGGTGGTTTACGGTGTAGGAGAGCGCACCAGCCTGGAGGGGGGAGGGGATGGGAAGGGCAAGGGAGCGGACAAGGGAGAGGGCAAGGAAGAGGGTTCTATCATGAGAGTACCCTTGGAGTTGAGAAGGTTCCAGGGGAAGGAGTCTGGGAGGTGGTTGATGGTGTAGGAGAGTGCACCCGCCTGAAAGGAGAGGGGATGGAAGCGCAAGCGAGAGAGCAAGGGGGAGGGGATGGAGCCGCAAGCGAGAGGGCAAGGGAGAGGGAAAGAAGGGGAGAAGGGGAGAGGGCAAGGCAAAGGGCACTGATGTTGATGCCCTTGCCTCCGAGCCATCTAATAGGCCCCCGAGTTCACCCACCCACCTCGTAATACACTTGGCTGGCCGAAGTAACGAGGTGCTGAGACAGAGATAGCGCCACCATCTGCCCTGAATCCGCACACTCATCGCCCTCCCCCACACACTTTGTATCCTCCGCCACACTCCCTCCCTCACTCCCTCTTCCGCGCCCACTACCCATCACTCTCCCAGGTTCCTTCTCCCCTTTGCCTCCCCCTATACTCGCCTCCCCCTCAGCTTCATCTCGCGCCCTTTCCACCTCCCCACCGGCACTGCCAACCGCCCCCATCTCCCCCAACGCCCTCACGCCTTGGTAGCTGCTGATGTCAGCACCACGGTCGATGCTCAGCCCACCACCACCAACACTACTCTGTGTGCTGACGTCAGCAGCGGCAGAAGCAGCGGCAGCACGGTGGGATGAGATGCTGCGATCCGACGGCAGGAAGCGGCCGTGGCAGGCGAGCGAGATGCCCTGGCCGTCGATCTCAGGATCAGCAGGCAGAGTGGCGTCAAGAGCAGCAGTGGAATCGATGGGCACGATGCGTGGGAGGGCCTGCAGAGCAGCGTTGGCGGTGGCGACCACGGTGTCAAGGCTGCTTGTGATGGCCGCTTCCATTGCCGCCCGCAGGTGGTTGGGTAATAAATCCACCAGGCTGTAGGGGGAAAGTGGGATGGAGTGAGTACAACACGAGGGGAAGCGAAAGGCGGTCAGCAGGCAGCGGCAGCATCGATGGGGACGATGCTGGGGAGGGCCTGGAGAGCAGTGTTGGCGGTGGCGACTACTGTGTCGAGGCTGCTTGTGATGGCCGCTTCCATGGCTGCCCGCAGGTGGTTGGGTAGCAGATCTACTAGCCTGCGGGAAGAGTGGGGAAGAGGAAGGGGGAAAGGCAGTCAGGGGGTGGGTTGGAGGGCCTGGAGAGCAGCGTTGGCAGTGGCGACTACGGTGTCGAGGCTGCTGCTGATGGCCGCCTCAATGGCTGCACGTAGGTGATTGGGTAAATAAACCACCAGGCTGCGGGGGGGAGGGAGGGTAGCATCAAGAGAAGAGAGGTAGCAGTGTTGGCGGTGGCCACTACGGTGTCGAGACTGCTTGTGATGGCCGCTTCCATTGCTGCCCGCAGGTGATTGGGTAATAAATCCGCCAGGCTGTGATTATAACAGGGGGGAGGGGGGGAGACCACAGTGTGGCTGGGGAGAAAAAGGGGAGGACGGGAGGGGAGGCGACAGGAGGGTGTTAGGAGGGGAGGCGACAGGATGGTGTTAGGAGGGGAGGCGACAAGATGGTGTTAGGAGGAAACTGTATGTTGCCAGTCAATCACAGCTTGCCCACCAACCCCAGCACATTCCCCCTTCTCTCCAGCTCTCTCTCCCTCCATCTCCGCCCCACTCCCTTTCTCCTCCCTCTACATCACATTCCATACAGTCACACTCACACGGTGTACAGCCAGGAGATACTCCCAGTGAGCTGAATCTCGATTGAGTCAATCGCCGCACCGCGCTGCAGCAGCGACACCCACAGCCCGCCGAACCGCTCCTGAAGCTGCGCCGCGATTCCCGCCTGCATTCCCGTGATCTGCACGCTCGCGTTCCCCGAGTCGCGCACATACCCGCCCGCCATTGAGTAACTCCACGTCAGACTGACGTTCGCGGTGATTCTACCGGAAAAAACGGTGATTTCGCCGCCTTCGTCGCCAATCCCTAGGTCGATACTCGCGTCGTCGACCGTCGCGCTCCATAGAATCATATCCGTTATATTCACTTGTAACGAGCCGAGAGGCTTGGGAAGGTCCTTCTGAAGCTGGAGGTCAGGTATGGTAAGCGGGATTATCTCTTCAAGCACTTCCTTTACAAGCACATCTCGGAACGACTGCAGGCCGGATTCTGACAGCCGCGCGGAAATCCCGCCGGGAGATGCGGAGGAGAGAGGCACGCGTGGCGCATGATGCGAGTCGCCACGGCTGGCGTTTAAGCGCTTAATCGCCGTTAACCGCTCGTTAGAATCTTGACTGGTTAATGGGAAGGGAGACTTAAGAACATCCTTCGCAGCGCGTAGCGGGTAGCGCGCGCGGATTGTGGAGTGCAGGAAGCGGAGGGGGAAGGCGGCGCGCGGAAAGCGCAGGTAGCGGGCGGGCGAAAGGCGGGAGGCGGTTCCGGTAGATGCGGCGAGAGCAAGGCAGAGCGCCACGTGGAATATGAGGAGCGTTGCTCGGGAATTGAGAACACGGGGACTGCGGCGAGCGCGAACAACGGCTGCGGCTCGTGAGGCAGCCATGGATGGCACGGAATGGAGGACAGCCCAAGGTATAGCTTTGTGCCATCAAGAATTTGTGTGAGTGTGAGTGCAAAACAAAATATTTATCAAATTTAAAGAACAGCCAGCTGTCGTGGAGCAATAGCTCAGTGGTAGAGCAATCGACTGCAGATCGATAGGTCCCCGGTTCAAACCCGGGTTGCTCCTTTTCTCTTTCAGTCTTGCTTGCTGTGGCTAGCACTTTATCAGAGTACCTTGTTTTACCCAGCTGGCAGGAAATCAACTTGCATGATTTTTTTTAGTGCTGTCAGTAGTCATACATCAATGCGTTGCATAAACAATGACTTACAGCAGTACTCCTGGCTCATCCACTTCTAACTAACCCCTTGGGTGGTACCATAAACAAGCTTGCAGGACCATCCACCCACCTACTGACCCTGCAATCCATCCTCCTCAAAAGGTTAATTCATTCATCCTCCTACCTATCCTGATATCCATCCCTCCACCCACCATGTGCATCATGCCTGTGTCACCCCACCCACACATGACTATCAGACTGAACCTTACAGCACCTCACAACTCAACCACCCTTCCTCTCACCCATCCTCAGCACCATGCCTGTGCAACAACCCCAGGTATGTGACAAGCAGATTCACCCGCCCAACGCCATCCCCATGCTGTTCGGGGCATCGTCCCACTTTTGAAGGGACTCAGAACTCTTCAACTGGTATGCATTCTCTCACCAATCCTCAGCACCATGCCTGTGCAGCCCCAGGTACGTGAAGAGCAGATTCACCCGCCCACCGCCATCGCCAGGCTGCTGCAGACAGCGCCCCACCATCCTCTTGTCTCGCAGACTCCACAGCTTCTCAAGACCCATCATTCACAGCATGCCCGTGCAACCCCAGGTACGTGACCAGCAGGTTCACCTGCCCACTGCCACCCTCAGGCTGCTGCGGCCAGCGCTCCATCATCCTCTTGCCTTGCAGACTGAGCATTATAGCTTCTCAAGACCCATCATTCTCCAGGTACGTGCTCGTCATCTCATCTCATCTCATCTCATCTCATCCTCCTCAGCGCCATGCCTGTGCAGCCCCAAATACGTGACCAGCAGGTTCACCCGCCCACTGCCGTCCTCTGGCTGCTGGGGGCACTGCTCCACCATCCTCTTAGCGTCACACCCCTTATACTCACACTCGAAGAAGTGCCGGCCAATGGGGTCGCGCCTCATCGGGGTGTGCCCACACGCCCTCCACATGTGCCCATCCTGTATAGTCACATTGCCAGGGCCGTCCACTTGCACAACCGTTAGAGTCACCTGTTCTCCTTCCCCTTCTCCTTCTCCTTCCCCATCCCCTACCCCCTCATCCTCCTCTTCTGTATCCCCGTCACCCTGGTAGCCTCCCTCTTTCTCCTTCTCATGCTCTTTCACTTGCTCTTGCTCACGCTCAGTCACACCAGCAATATTGGTCACACCAGCAGCAGTATTTGCATCCTTGGGACTGTCTCCAAAGCGAGTCCTCTTGGAGGTCTCCCAAGCACAGGATGCTGTATTGACCTGAGCGTTGACTGGGTTGACTTGCTGTGAAGCGTTGACCGAGTTGACTGGGCGCACAGGTATATCCATCAGCGGCGGGCGGCTGCGTTTGTTGCTTCTCGGCTGGTTGTTGCTGGCCGCGGCCTCTTTAGCCAGATGCTGCTGCTGCTGCCACTGTTGCTGCTGCTGCTGCTGTTGCTGGCACTGCTGCTGCAGGACCTGTTGTTGATGGTAGTGGTTTTGCTGGTATTGCTGCTGCAGCTGGTGTGGCTGGTATGGTTTCGTGGTCGGCGCAAGTGACTCTGCTGGCACGGTGGCAGAAGCAGCTACTGTACAGAGTGCTACAGTACTATGCCTTACTGTACTTGCACTTACTGTAGACGGGTTTACTGTAGAACACGTTACAGTAGCGGCTGACTGCGCAATGGTGCGTGCAGCAGGGGCCAATTGCGGCGACAACGAAACCCCACCAGGAGTGGCGGAAATTGAAGGAGGGTGGGGAGGAGGAGACGACAGGGGAGGAGCAGGAGCTGACGTGGCAGCAGGAGGAGCTGTAGCAGCAGCTGACGTGGCAGCAGCTACAGCGCAGAGCACAGGCGGTGAGAGCGATGCGAGGAGAGCGGGTAGCTCTGAGGGCTGTACGCGCTGCAGCACTGTGAGAATGGCAGATGCTGTTTCCATTGAGAGAGGGGGAGGTGCAGATGGGGGGAGAGGGTGAGAGGAGGAGGACGGGACGGGGTGGGTGGCAGGAGACGGAGCTACTACTGCCACCGCTGCTGCTCTTGCTGCTTCTGCTGCTGATGCTGCACCTGTTGCTGTTGCAGGTGGTGCATTGTGGCTTGGAATCAGGCTCGGAGCTTGGCTCGGGAGCTGGGTGGTAGCAGCAGCAGCAGGAGCAGGGTCGGTAGAGCAGGGCACAGCAGCCACCCTGCCTGCCACGCTGCCTGCCACGCTGCCAGGCCTGGGGAACCCACTGCCCGGTAGGCCACTTCCATGAAGGTTCCTGCAGTTGACCGTGTCTCTGTTGGTAGTACTGACTGTGTTGCTGAGATTGTGGGTTGTGGAATTGTTGATAGTGTTGCTGATGGTGTAGCCTGAGCTGGCACCCTCCCCGCTGCCACTGGCAGTTACACTGCAATGCGCCGAGAGAGGGAGAGAGAGAGAGGAGAGAGATTGCGGGGGAGGGAGAGTGAGAGGAGGGGGATGAGGCGTGGAGGCTTGGTTAGATAGAGGGGAAAGTGGGGAGGGAGCGGGGCGAGTGAGAGTGAGGAGAGTGGTGTGAGTGAGGGTGGAAGGAGGAGGATGAGAGAGGGAAGAAGGAGGATGAGAGAAGGAGGATGGAGAGGCAGCTTGGCGTGAAATCGCCCCCAGCCGGCGATGGTCAGGTGAATTGGCAGTCTGATGCGCTGCTTGTCCTTTCCCTGCCCCCTTTATAGCTGCATCTAGCTGAGCAAACCCCCCCATATCCTCTGTTATAATCACTCTCACGTCGCCTGCATGCCCAGCTGTAGCACGCCGCCCGGTTGCCGCCCCTTTTGGGTGGTTGTGCTCGTCCTTGTACAGAATCTCCATGCTCCCGCCGCCCGGGGCCATCTCGGCGGTTTTTTTTGCCGGGCAGCCCGGAACAGCGCAGCGGAAATAGCCCCTGGGGAATGAAGATCCTTTGGGCGGCTTCTGCCCGTACTTCCGCCAGGAATAGCCGTCTGGTGGTAGGTCCATTCCCAATGACGGAGGGGACAACGCAGCAGGAGAAGAAGCGGCAGGGGGAGCAGTAGCAGGGGGAGCAGTAGCAGGGGGAGCAGAAGGAGAGGCAGCAGCAGCAGCAGCAGGCGTGGCTGCGCGAGTTGCAGAAGCATCATCCCCACCGCCACCACCACCACCAGCACTAGCACCAGCCGCCGGCGCAGCAGCTGGTGGTGGTGGTGGTGGTGGCGATGCCTCACCCTGCCCATCCACCACTGCTGCACAGCCACCCTCTTCAGCCTTCCTCCTCCCTGCTCCCACGCCCACACTCCCTTCCACTCCGCCCCCACCTGCTCCCCCTCCTCCTCCCCCTCCTCCTCCTCCTCCTCCTCCTCCTCCTCCTCCTCCTCCTCCTCCTCCTCCTCCTCCTCCTCCTCCTCCTCCTCCTCCTCCTCCTCCTCCTCCTCCTCCTCCTCCTCCTCCTCCTCCTCCTCCCCCTCCCCCTCCCCCTCCTCCTCCCTCCTCCTCCTCCTCCTCCTCCTCCTCCTCCTCCTCCTCCTCCTCCTCCTCCTCCTCCTCCTCCTCCTCCTCCTCCTCCTCCTCCTCCTCCTCCTCCTCCTCCTCCTCTTCCTCCTCCTCCTCCTCCTCTCCCCATCCTTCCCAGTTGACCCCCCTCCCCTCTTGAGGGGGACCCAACTCTCCCTTTGCCTGACGGCAATTGCCCGTGCCCGGACAGAGATTGCCCCACCCTGCCTCTCTGGGTGCTTGGCTCCCTGGACACGTGGAGGGCCGTTGGGGCTGCACGGGCTGCTCCACATGCGCTGCTGGGCAGGGTGGCACCTGAGGGAGCACCTGAGGGGGCACCTGCGACAGCACCTGAGGCTGCATGTGCAGGCGTGAGTGCAACAGTGCGTTCAGGTGCTGCTTCAGGTGCACATGAGGGTTCACCTGATGGTCCACGAGAAGGTTCAGGTGCCGCTCCAGATTTTTCATTGTTTCTGATGCCTGCCTCGCTCGTGATTCCCACCCCAGCGCCACCTCCGCCGTTTCCCCCTGCAGCAGCGCCACCTCCGCCGCTTCCCCCTGCTGCAGCAGCATCTGCGCCGCTCCCATCAGCAGCAGCGCCACCTCCGCCGCTCCCCTCAGCAGCAGCGCCTCCTCCGCCGCTTCCCCCTGCAGGGGCGCCGGTTCCCCCTGCAGCAGTGCCGGCTCCGCTGTTTCCTGCTCCCCACACCGCGGAAGGGGCGGTAGCAGGTGACACAGCAAGGCATGTGCTTGTACGGGGGGTGTACAGTAACGGGAGCAAGCTGCAAAACACTTCGAATGTCTGCTCTTTAGATGGCGCTGCACCGTCAGTTTCGTCTTGACGAGCCTCATTGTTACCACCCGCGCCCGCTTCCCCAACCATGCCCGGCGCTGCTACTTCCGCCCGCCGCGCTTCCCCCGCCGCCGTTTCTCCCCCGCGCGCGGCTCCCCGCTGGTCCCCCGTCCGTATCTGTCCCAACGCCTCTGGTCGCGCCCATTCCTCCGCGAATGCCGCACCAGCGGAGAGTTTTGGCGACGCTGCGACCCGTTCGCGAAGCTCGCCGACTGTCGCCTGCGGGACAGCGACTTCCTCGAGCGACGGTTCCGACGTTCGCGATGTTCGCGAAGCAGAGGCGGCGAAGCGCGGAGTCGGAATGGAGATCTCGGGTAAGGAATCGTCGTCGAAGACAAACGGAAGGGGCGGCAGAACGTGGGCAAGCGACGAGCATCCGCCGCCGCCGCCGCTGACGGCAACGCCCGGCGGGGCCACGGTGGATGGCGGAAGCCCCGCGGAAGCGGTCGGGGAAAAGGCGGAAGCGCAGACGGAAGCGGAAGCGGAAGCGGAAGTGGAAACGGGGAGGGATGCGGAAGAGACGAGGGACGCGGAAGAGGAAGAAACAAGCGCGGGGACGGTCGCCAATGCGTCGCTTGCTAAAGCCGCCGCCGCCGCCGTCGCGGCCGCTTTATTTCCCAACTCGGAAAGTTCGTCGGTCTTCAGGCCGCCTCCAGAATTGACAACTTGGCTCAGATCGTTAACGTAGAACTGAGTCCGCTCTAAACGAGAAAATCCTTGCTCCACCTGTCCCGCTCTATCGTACACGTCGGAGGGATCTCGCTGCATTAAAACCCGAGTCGCAATGTGATGAGAAAGCGACGCAGCCATGCGGGTGGTCAAGCTAGCAGTTAAGGCCTCGCCCGTTCCGAGCGGAAGCGGCGCAGCGAAAAGCCGCTGCCCTTCCGCCTCCCGCTCGCGCTGCTGCTGCTGCTGCTGCTGCGCTCCCTGGTCTCCGCCAACCTGGCCTCCGCCACAATGCGCCAATTTTTCCGCGCCCCTTTCAAGGAAATGTTTCCCGCTTTCCTCTTGCCTACGCTCCTGCTGCTGCTCCGGCTGCTGATGCGGCTGCGGCGGCTGCTCAGCTCGTCGCTCTCCTTGCTCCGTGTACCGCGGTCGATCCGTCCGCCAATGCTCCGCGCGCCCATCGTCCGCCCGACGGAGCACTAAACCAGCGAAATCGCACCGCGGCGCGACATTCTCGTCGCAACTGCTATTGCGGGAATCCAGGAGTCTCGGCGTGCGTCGCCCCGTTTCAAAACGCTCACTCTGCCGCCCGTACCCTGCCCGAGCTTCGTCCGCCACGTCAGCCCTAGACGCCAAGGTCGTTGTGCTTGGACCCTGCTGTTGCGTGTATTCTTCGATCCGTTGCTGCCGCGGCAATTTTTTTTGTTGCAGCTGCTGCTCTCTCCTGTGCTGCAGCTGGTGCACGCTCCTTTCCTGCTGCTGCTGGAACGGCTCCGCTCCTTCTTTCTCCTCGAGACACGTCTGTTTCGGTTCAGCGTTGCGCCGCGTACGGCGGCGAAACGTGTGAACGAAGCTCTGGTCATGGCGTGCTTCTTGGAGTTGGGGTTGCGACGAAAACGCGTGGGTTGGATTTTGGTCGGTGGGAACCGCGTGTCTCCCCGATAGTTGATGCAGCCGACGGCGGTGTGGGGAGGAAGACGATGAGGGCGAGGGAACAGAGCAGTCTTTTCTGCTGCTTGCCTTGAGCGCTGGGTTGGGTGGGTAGTTGGCCGACATTTTTGTGCATGTCGCGAGTGAAATGCAAGGGACGTTTGTGTACTTGAGAAGGATATATTTCGATTCTCGATTGAAGCAAAAAAATGAGGTGCGAGATGGAATGGGAGAAATTTGTGATTGTGGCAATGTTGGGGGTATTACACAGTTCCAGCTGCAGACGAGGCGAGGAGGTGTGTGCTTGTGTGTGAGTCGAGGGGTTGACGGACGGTGGATTGATTTCAGATCTGGAGTAAAAGTAGGTCAGCGCACAGAAGAGCGCGATGCGACTTCTGGTTCAGGCAGTGAGAGACAGCGATGCGACCCGCGGGGGTCCACGATTTGCAAACCAGGTTTCGTAATTCTGCGGCGAGAGTAATTGACTGCGGTCAACGACAAAGTGGGCGTTAGACTGAGGTCAGCCCTTGAATGCAGAAGCGATAGAGCTGATGACACGTGGAATGACCTCATGAGTGAAAAGAAAGCGAATGCACCCGATGAGGCAGGAGGAGGTAGGTGCGAGTCTGTGTGTCTTTTGCCCACGACTATCTTGTCGTCTGGTGGAGACCAATTTTTATTTTGATGTAGCCTATCTGCTGGGTGAACTTATTTCCTAAGTTTCGACAACACTATCGTCTCAGGGTTTGTCGGTTAGTTTTTCGTCCAAAGCAAAGAAAGCTAGAACAAACTCCAGTCTGGATATACGTTACGCTACACCCGGAAAACTAATGGGCATAAAAAGCAATTCAGCTTTCTCCATCGTAAGTTGTCGTACAGCCCTTCCAATATGCCGAGCGCGGGAAAGCAAGAGCGACAACCAATCCCAGTTGCTGTGGGCCATGCCTTCCATGCCACGACAATTTGGCAGTTACCAACGAATTTCAAACACCCCGCCGTCACACCAGCTCTACAAGAAGCAAGCCGCTTTACGCTGACGCGTTTGAGCGCTCCTATATCAGCCTAGTACAATTTAAGCTCCCGCATTTTAGCCCTACAATGCCTCTCTACGATTTATTCCCATCAGCCTTAAACTACCATTTGCACAATAAGCTAAAGCATACTGTTATACTACCCAATCAGCCGCTGCCTACTCACGGAGGTAACCACTTGTGATTTGAACGCAGTGGCCGAGAACTGTAGCGCTGTGTCTCGGATCATGAATCCAAAATATGCAAGACCCAAAATGCCTGCTACGACTGCAGTCACGAGGAACCACCACTGCAAGGGGGCATAATGGAGGGATAGGAACTAAACTGAGTGAACATGCAACAAAAACACAGACCTTATTCCATCAATTGTCATATATTCAACTGCTGCTCTCTTATACACCCCTTCCTCCCACACAACCCCCACTTTTACACTCACATCCTGGTTGCCGCCATAGAGCTGCCCGTACACGTCAATCCCAAGGAACACATTGGCGCAGCCCATGGCAATCGCCGCGATGCCCATCGCCCAGTGGAAGGTCAGCCACGCGGGGCGGTTGGACGTGCCCTTGTCGGGGCGGAACAAGCCCAAGAAGGGCTGCACGAATGTGAGGGCGAGCGCCACCACTCCCAGCTTGCCATGTGTCCACTCCAGGCCCTGGGAACCTGACACTATGAACACCATTATGGCCGCCACTAGCACCAGGATTACGGCACAGATTTGAATGTACCTGGGGAGTGGGGAAGGGGGGAGGGGGAGGCAGGGAGAGGCAGGTGGCAGGTGCGAGGAAGGTGAGCCACACGGGGCGGTGGGACGTGCCCTTGTCAGAGCGGAACAAGCCCAGCAAGGACTGCACAAAGGTGAGAGCCAGCACCACCGCTCCCAGATTGCCATGTGTCCACTCCAGGCCCTGGGAACCTGACACAAAGAACACCATTATGGCCGCCACTAGCACCAGCAGAACCGCACAGATTCGAGTGTACCTGGGGAGGGGAGGGAAGCAGGGGACAAGGTGAATACGGAAGGGGGTGCGGGGGAAGGTGTTGACGGGACTGATCTGAAGGATAAGGTTTCGGGAAGGCATAAGTCTCGTGTGAATGCAGAAGGCCCAAAACAAAACATCAGCTTAGCAGCACATAGGCGAGTACGTGCATGATGTCATGCACCATCAGCACCACTCAGCAACCTCCTTACCGCCTCACACCCGCCTACCCCCCTTAAGCAGAGGAACCAGAGGCCCCTGTTGGTGTGAGCGTCCTTGTCCTCCTCGCAGGGCAGAGTGGGGCGGTCGTTGGGATGGGATCCCCCTTACCACCTCACACTTGCTTCAACCCCACTACCCCTCCTTACTTATGGCAGAGGAACCAGAGGCCCCTGTTGGTGTGCATCTCCTTGTCTTCATCCGAGGGCAGAGTGGGGCGGTCATAAAGGAAGAGGCGCGCGAGCAGCACTCCCAGGGGCATGAGCAGCGCGTAGGCAAGTGCGAGCATGATGCCGTGTGCCAAGAGCACTGCCTTCTTATTGCTGTTGCTGCTGGTCACTGGGGCGGACGTGCCGTTGATGAATGCAACTGAGGCCGAACCACTGGATGGGATAGGGAGGGAGGGAGAGTAGAGACGGGAGGGGAGGGACAGAGAGTGGAGGGAGGGGAGGGACAGAGAGTGGAGGGAGGGGAGGGACAGAGAGTGGAGGGAGGGGAGGGACAGAGAGTGGAGGGAGGGGAGGGACAGAGAGTGGAGGGAGGGGAGGGACAGAGAGTGGAGGGAGGGGAGGGACAGAGAGTGGAGGGAGGGGAGGGACAGAGAGTGGAGGGAGGGGAGGGACAGAGAGTGGAGGGAGGGGAGGGACAGAGAGTGGAGGGAGGGGAGGGACAGAGAGTGGAGGGAGGGGAGGGACAGAGAGTGGAGGGAGGGGAGGGACAGAGAGTGGAGGGAGGGGAGGGACAGAGAGTGGAGGGAGGGGAGGGACAGAGAGTGGAGGGAGGGGAGGGACAGAGAGTGGAGGGAGGGAGGGACAGAGAGTGGAGGGAGGGGAGGGACAGAGAGTGGAGGGAGGGGAGGGACAGAGAGTGGAGGGAGGGGAGGGACAGAGAGTGGAGGGAGGGGAGGGACAGAGAGTAGAGAGGGAGGGGAGGGAGAGAGAAGGGGCATGAGCAGCACGTAGGCGAGTGCGAGCATGATGCCGTGCGACAGGAGCACTGCTTTATTGTTGCTGTTGCCGGTGGTGCTGACAGGGGCCGCGGAGCCGTTGATAGGAAGGGATAGTGGGACAAGATAAGGGGAGGAGATGAGGGAAGAGAACAGGAGAGAAGTGGGCAAGAGGGGGAAAGGAGAGAAGAGAAAAGAGAAAAGAGAAGAGGAGATGAGAAGAGGAGATGAGGAGAGGAGATGAGGAGAGGAGATGAGAGGAGATGAGGAGAGGAGATGAGGAGAGGAGATGAGGAGAGGAGATGAGGAGAGGAGATGAGGAGAGGAGATGAGGAGAGGAGATGAGGAGAGGAGATGAGGAGAGGAGATGAGGAGAGGAGATGAGGAGAGGAGATGAGGAGAGGAGATGAGGAGAGGAGATGAGGAGAGGAGATGAGGAGAGGAGATGAGGAGAGGAGATGAGGAGAGGAGATGAGGAGAGGAGATGAGGAGAGGAGATGAGGAGAGGAGATGAGGAGAGGAGATGAGGAGAGGAGATGAGGAGAGGAGATGAGGAGAGGAGATGAGGAGAGGAGATGAGGAGAGGAGATGAGGAGAGGAGATGAGGAGAGGAGATGAGGAGAGGAGATGAGGAGAGGAGATGAGGAGAGGAGATGAGGAGAGGAGATGAGGAGAGGAGATGAGGAGAGGAGATGAGGAGAGGAGATGAGGAGAGGAGATGAGGAGAGGAGATGAGGAGAGGAGATGAGGAGAGGAGATGAGGAGAGGAGATGAGGAGAGGAGATGAGGAGAGGAGATGAGGAGAGGAGATGAGGAGAGGAGATGAGGAGAGGAGATGAGGAGAGGAGATGAGGAGAGGAGATGAGGAGAGGAGATGAGGAGAGGAGATGAGGAGAGGAGATGAGGAGAGGAGATGAGGAGAGGAGATGAGGAGAGGAGATGAGGAGAGGAGATGAGGAGAGGAGATGAGGAGAGGAGATGAGGAGAGGAGATGAGGAGAGGAGATGAGGAGAGGAGATGAGAAGAGGCATAAGGCACAACGACCATCCAAGTCAGCACTAGATGGAGCCAAGCTGAGTGACGGCAGATTGGAGAAGGCCCAGATGACTGCAGTAAGCCACACCTGTGACCCAGCAACTTATTATTCATGCACCTCTTAAAAAAGCTGCACTGCATTACCTGTGACCCAGGAACCCACCAGTTGGAGCCGTGGAAGCTGAGAGATGGCTGCTCAGAGAAGGACCAGATGACTGTGGTGCTGCCCTCTGCATTGATTGGCGCCGTGCCGTCCGTTGTGGAGCGCTCAAACCTGCTCGCAGGTGAGAGAGGGGGGGGGAGGAGAGTGAGGGGGAAGGTTAGAGGCAGATAGAGAGGTTTTGAAGGACCAGATGACAGAGGCAGCAAGGCAGAGATAGGAAAGCAGAGGCAGTCAAGCAATCAGAGAGAACCGGAGGGGCAGAGGGTTGCACAGGCAGGAAGCCTGCTTTTGAGTCGACTCAACAGCACAGGCAGGAAGCCTGCTTGAGTCAACTCAACAGCACAGGCAGGAAGCGCACTCAAACCTGGTGAGGGGGGCAGGGGGGGCAGCAACACTGCGAGGCAGGGATATGCAGAGAGAGGGGGGGAGGTGGAGAAAGAAAGGGTGCCAGGCAGAACAGGCATCGTCAGAGAGAGGGGGAAAGGAGAGGCGCCTCAAAGCCTGTCAGAATCCCCTTCTGCCCCCAAAATCCTTTGCCACTGAAACCAGCTGCACTCACTTCATGATGGTTCTTCCATTGCTGGTTTCCACCGACGTATTCGCGAGCGTGAAATCCCCCGAAGGCACCACCTCGCTCTCCTCGTACCCGCCGATGTAAAACGCGCCCACCGCAGCCCCGTTGGCGATGGCACCGAACGGCAGGTTGCCAATGGCCACGTCTGAGGGCGCCATACGACCCTCCCGCGACCAGCCCAGGGAGAGGTACCCCGTCGTTGCTGCCTCTGCTGCTATGGCTACAGTTGTCTTGCTGAGCGCCTTCCAATGCAGGATGAAGCTGCGTGGGAGGAGGTTCGAGGAGGGAGGGGGGTATTGGGGGGAAAGATGGAGTGAGGGATGGGGAGCAGACGACAAAAGCCAGTTACATGCTTGATCAGAATGACACTTGTGTTCCCACAACCAAGTCACTCACTTGTCGCCACTGAGCTCCAAGGAGCAAGTGTGATTCGCCAGCCATTGTAGGTGACTATTGGGCTCACTACCTTGTTACCATAACCACTCACTTGTCGCCACTGAGCTTCAAGGAGCAAGTGTAATTCGCCAGGGGAGAGGGGGAGCATCCCACCATTGCTGCTGCTGATGGTGCCGCTAGTGCTACCATATGCACTCTACACACCTGTGTTACCACAACCAAGCGACACTCACTTGTCGCCACTGAGCTCCAAGGAGCAAGTGTAATTCGCCAGCCATTGTAGCGAGGTGACTATTGGGCTCACTTACAAGTTACCTTGTTACCATAACCACTCACTTGTCGCCACTGAGCTCCAAGGAGCAAGTGTAATTCGCCAGCCATTGTAGCGAGGTGACTATTGGGATCACTTACAAGTTACCTTGTTACCATAACCACTCACTTGTCATCATTGAGCTTCAAGGAGCAAGTGTAATTCGCCAGGGGAGAGGGGGAGCATCCCACCATTGCTGCTTCTGCAGCCACCACTGCTGCTGCCGACGCTTTTGCCGGTTTTCCTGGTTTTGCTGCTGCCGGTGCTGGTGCTGACGGTAGTGGCACTGCTGGTTTTGACGGTTGTGCTGCCACTGACGGTGGCGCTGCTACTGCTGGTGCTGACGGTGCTGCGGACGATGCTGGGGCGTCCAGAGCAGGCGGCAGAGGGGCGGAGCCATGGGAGTTGGCAGGGGAGCAGTTGAAATAGACCACGGCAGAGCCCCTGAGGAAGGGTGGGGTGGGGTGGGGGTGGGGGCATAGGAGAGGGAGGGGAGGGGTGAGAAGGTGAGGGGAGAGCAGGAAGGCCAGCAGTTAGTGCTGGTGCTAATGATGGCGATGATTCTGCTGGTGTGCCCAGAGCAGACGGCAGAGGGGCAGAGCCGGGTGTGCTGGCAGGCGTGCAGTTGAGATTGACCAGAGCGGGACCCCTGGTGGGCGTGAGGGGAGTGGAATGAGGAGAGGGGAGGGGAGGGGACGGGTGAGGGAAGGAAAAAAAAAAAAAAAAAAAAATGTTGGAGCAGGCAGCAGAAGGGGTGAGCTGGGCTTGTTGGCGGGCGTGCAGTTGGGATGTTTTGAGATGTCTCAAAACACTTGTTCAAACAACAGGCGGCAGAGCTGGGCGAGTTAGCAGGCGTGCAGTTGAGATTGACCAGGGCAGAGCGACTGGAAGGGGGGAGGAAGTGGGAAGACGACAAGTCAACCAAGTCAACCGAGTTGGGACAGCAAAAGTCCTCGGTTGACACATACCTGTTGAGAGGCCCGTGGCCAGCAAAAGTCAGATGATGCAGTTACCACCCGACACCACATCCAACTTGAAACATACTCGTTACAGGTGTCTCGTTACAGCACATACCTGTTAAGAGGGCCGTGACCGGCTAGAGTCTGTGTCTCATCAGCCGAGAAAGCCCAGATGATGCGGTTACCACCTGACAGCGTTACAGGCGCAAGCCCATCAATGGTGGTCCGGGCAAAGCGCAGAATCGTGCTCCCACTGGCTAATGGAGCTTCGGCCACTCCAATCCCGCCACCTGCCGGCGCGCCATTGGCCGATGGCGCGAGTGTGACTATAGTGGGGGCGCCAATAGCGAAGGCGGATGTGGGCGAGATTGTAGCGAGGGTGCGACCTGTGATGGTGTAGGCGCTAATGGCACCGCCTGTAGTGCGAGGGAGGTGGGGGAGGGGTGGCGGGTGTGGAGGAACAGGGAATGTGATGGGCGTGAGAACTAACCCACCCCACCCCACCCCTTCCCCTCTCTCTCACCTGCCATGATGCCAATGATGGCATCAGAGGGGAACATCTTGCCTTTCTCACTCCACCCCACTCCATCCCTCTCCACCACTACTTTTACCTGCCGTGCTCCATGCTCTGCCCTCTCTTCCCCTCTCTCTCACCTGCCGTGTTGCCAATAATGGCGTCCGAGGGGATCATCTTGCCTGTCTCGCTCCACCCCACCGCCACTCTCTACCCCACGCTCACCACTCTCTACCCCACGCTCACCACTCTCTAACCCACGCTCACCACTCTCTACCCCACGCTCACCACTCTCTACCCCACGCTCACCACTCTCTACCCCACGCTCACCACTCTCTAACCCACGCTCACCACTCTCTACCCCACGCTCACCACTCTCTACCCCACGCTCACCACTCTCTACCCCACGCTCACCACTCTCTACCCCACGCTCACCACTCTCTACCCCACGCTCACCACTCTCTACCCCACGCTCACCACTCTCCGCCCTTTCCCTGCAACCTTACCTGCCGTGTTGCCAATGATGACATCCGAGGGGAACATCTTGCCTGTCTCGCTCCACCCCACCGCCACCCACCCCTTCTCCGCGCCACTCCCCGGCCGCGCCTCCAGCGCAAAGCGCACGAGCGTGGGGGTCGCCACCGCCCAATGCAGCGCCAACCTGAAAGGGGAGGGGAGGGGAGGGGAGGGGGGGGGGGGGGGGGGGGGGGGGGGGGGGGTTATGAGAGAGCTTCTCCGCGCCACTCCCCGGCCGCGCCTCCAGGGCAAAGCGCACGAGCGTGGGGGTCGCCACCGCCCAATGCAGGGGTAAGGGAGACGAGAAGAGGGGATGGGGGGGTGAGAGGAGAGGAGAACCAAAAGTTGGAGGGAAGAAGAGCGGTGCATGGTACATCAGAGGGTGGAGGAGAGAGAGGGGAGAGGAGGGGAGAGGAGGGGAGTAGAGGAGGGGAGTAGAGGAGGGGAGTAGAGGGGAGTAGAGGGGAGAGGAGGGGAGGAGGGGAGAATAGATGCCCATAGTGCACGACTACACGCGTTATTCCGTTGTAATCCCCTTCGCTACACTCACTTGTTCCGCACCAAAGGTGCCACGAATGAGTATCCAGGAAGGGAAGATGCTTGGCAGGCCGAACCTCCTGCCGAACCTTCTGGGGCGGGGACCACCGGCGGCTTGGTAACTGGAGGCTTGGTAACAGGCTTGGTCACGGGAGGTTTGGTGACTGGCTTTGCAACAGGGGGCTTGATGACAGGCTTGGTAACTGGTGGTTTGGTGACGTTAGTTTTGGGGAGAGGAGGTTTGGCAATAGGAGGCTTGATAACAGGCTTGGCAACAGGTGGCTTGATGATCGGCTTGGTAACAGGCTTGGTGACGGGAGGCTTGATAATCGGCTTGGTGACTGGCTTGGGAACTGGCTTGGTAACAGGTGGCACGGGAGGTTCGGCCGGAGCAGCAGCTGAGGGCGGGGCGACAGGGTCTGCATGGCACAGGGAAGGCAGGTGGGGAGAGGGGAGAGTAAGATGGGAGAATGGGTGCGGGCGCATGAGAGGGGAAGTGAGAGTGAGAAAAACAGCGCACGACAGAGCATGACAGAGCATGACAGAGCATGACGGAGCATGACGGAGCATGACGGAGCATGACAGAGCATGACAGAGCATGACGGAGCATGACAGAACATGACAGAACATGACGGAACATGACGGAGCATGACAGAACATGACGGAACATGACGGAGCATGACGGAGCATGACATAGCATGACGGAGCATGACGGAGCATGACGGAGCATGACAGAGCATGACAGAGCATGACAGAGCAAGACAGAGCAAGACAGAGCATGACGAAGCATGACGGAGCATGCCAGAGCCTTAAAGAGCATCGCAGAGAGGCAGAGGGCATGAGAGTCGATTCTGTATTTTGACTCAAAATACACGTCAATGCCAGCAGGTGGGTGGCACGTCAGCCAGATACATACCACCATCAACAGCACCACACGTACCGCCGCCGCACGAGAGGTCCATGATGGCCGTGATGGGAAGCTGCACGAGTGAGTGCCGTGCCCTTGTGTGACCCGTGGTAGCCCAGCGGATGCGAGGCACACTGAGACCAACCCACGTACCATGCATCATCAACACCAGCAGCACCCGCAGCACCAGCAGCACCCGCAGCACCCGCAGCACCAGCAGCACCCGCAGCACCAACAGCACCAATAGCACCCGCAGCACCAACAGCACACGTACCGCTACCGCACGAGAGGTCCATGATGGCCGTGCCCTTGTGTGACCCGTGGTAGCCCAGCTTGTGGGCGCCGTCGCTTGAGAAGGCCCAGATGATCCTGTTCTTGCCCGTCAGGTTCAACGGCACCGTGCCATCCGTGGCATTCCGGGTGAATCTGACGCGGGGAAAGGAAGAAGAGACAGAGAGATGGGGTTGTGTGCCCGCTTAACAGGTGTTAAGTGCACTCATAGACAGCACTCATACTCACCCCATCACTCATGGACAGCACTCACTCACCGTATCACAAGCACTTACTCCATCAACGTGCTGCCCTCAGCGGTGGCACTCAGCGCCTTGTTCTGCCCCAGCTTCATCACGCGGCTCCCCACCACCGCGTCGGGGGAGTGCCCCGTGAGCGCGTATCCGCGCACCATTCCGCCCAGCAGGTTCCCCACGACCGCGTCCGCCTGCGCCATTCCGCCCGTTGCGGACCACCCCACGGCGAACCACCCCGCGCTTGCCGGACCTGGCCACGCCTCCACAGCCATTTGCACCTTTCCGGACGGCTTGGGGGGGTTCCAGTGCAGGAGGAGGCTGGGGGGAGAGGAGGCGGAAGGACGGGGGGAAGGTGGGGAGGAAGGGGGGAAAGAGGGGAACGGGGGGGAAGGAAAGGGTCAGAGAGTGAATGGCCGCGCCTCCACAGCCATCCGCACCTTTCCAGACGCCTTGGGGGGGTTCCAGTGCAGGAGGAGGCTGGGCGGAAGGAGGGTGCGGGGGAAGGACGAAGGGGAGAGGGAAGAGTGAGTAACTGCCTCCACACCCACCTGCACCGTTCCGGCTGTTGTCGGGGGGTTTCAAAGGAGGAGGCTGGGGAAAGGTGGGGAAAAAGGGGTGGAAGGAGGGAGGGAGGGAGGGAGGGTAGACCTTGCTTCCTTTGTTAGCTTTCGTCATCCTACTTCATCCTAGTTTTCGGAAACTCGCGAAAACCTTGGGAGTTTCATCTTCCCCCGTCCCCTCTTCCCCCCCCGTTCCACTCACTAATGGGCTTTCAGTTTGATGTAAAATTTGTAACCCGCCTTCGGGGACTCGCGACAACCCTGGGGTTTGCGGCCCTTGGAAGTGCCGCCACCAGGAGCACCGCCCCCGGGAGTGCCGACCCCAGGAGTGCCGACCCCGGGAGTGCCGACCCCAGGAGTGCCGACCCCGGGAGTGCCGACCCCAGGAGTGCCGACCCCAGGAGTGCCGACCCCGGGAGTGCCGACCCCGGGAGTGCCGACCCCGGGAGTGCCGACCCCGGGAGTGCCGACCCCGGGAGTGCCGACCCCGGAAGTGCCGACCCCGGGAGTGCCGACCCCGGGAGTGCCGACCCCGGGAGTGCCGACCCCGGGAGCACCGCCCACGGTAGTCCCGACCCCGGGAGTGCCAGCCCCGGGAGCGCCGACCGGGGGAGTGACGACCGCGGGAGTGCCGATCGCGGGAGTGCCGACCGCGGGAGTGCCGACCGCAGGAGTGCCGGCCGCGGGAATAGTGGGTTTAGGAGTGCCAGCCGCAGGCAACCCCCCCGTAGACGACTCCTTCTTGACACTTCCGTCCATTCCCGCGCCAGGGGACAGCTTGGGCGGAAGCGGAAGCGGAGCCACGGGGAGGACTGGGGAAGCCTCGGGGGGAACTGGGGAGGCCTTGGGGGTTGGCGCGGGCACAGCTCCGCCAGCCGGGTCTTCCGCCTTCGCGCGCCTGCAGGACATGTCCGCTGTTGCCATTCCGCTGATTGGGGGGGAGGGGAGAGGGTAAATGGGGAAGAGGGAGGGGAAAAGGAAAGGAGGAGACGGGTTGGCGTAGGAGGGCGCGGGAAAGGAGTGTGACACAAGTAGGGGGAGGAGGGAAGGGGTAGAAATTTCTTTTTGTGACAAGTAGCAGGGCCGTACAGCAGGGTAAAAACAAAACGTTTAAAAATACAACTGTTCTTTTCTTCGTGGCATGCCGTGTTCATAATGAGGCCGATACTCTTACTGTCCAAATCATCCGCGAGACTTACACGTTATCCCCTTTGAAAGCCAGCTCGGTCCCGCCATCCGCGGAGTACGCCCAGAACATCGTGTTGCGCCCATTCATATTCACCGGCGCCAGCCCGTCGGTCCCGCGCCGCGCAAACCTGCGCGCAAGGGGAATTGGAGGAACAGGGGGAGAAGAAGAAAAACGTGGTTACTATTATATTCCTCACTCATGCCAGGCCGACAACTCAATAAAATTCGAGACTGACGCATTGTTTGCTCCTGGTGGTAAGACTGAAACATTCCCTCACGTTCAAGCCAATCCTTATGGTACAGCACTCACCTTATAATCTTCGTGCCGTCGTCCCGCACGACCATCCGCGCATTCGACCCCAGCGCGATCGACGCGTTGGGCGCCACGAGCGCCGGGTCCTCTCCACGGATACTGTACATGCGCACATCTGCGTCGGGTAAATTACCCACGATCGCGTCCGCGGGAAACATCTCCCCGTCGCGCGACCATCCCACGCCGAACCAGCCCTTGGCTACGCCAAAGCCAGCTCGCGCCTCCACCGCCATCATCGCTATTCCCGCCTCGCCCGGCTCGCGCCAGTGGAACAGGAACCTGCGGGGAGGGGGAAGTGGAGGAATGGGGGGAGCGGAAAGGTGGGGAGATGAACGGAAAAGTGGGGGACGGGGGAAGAGTTGAGGCGGAGGGGATGGGGGGAACGGAGAAGGGGAGGGGTTGGAAGCGCAAGTCAGGGAGAACTTGCGGCGGAAAGCAACTGTTCGCGCGCCCTGGAGCAAACCAGGGCGCGAAGTTCGCTCAACTGTTACGACTTCGCTCACCCCCTATTTTTCAACGTCGTTTGGAAGTCGTAATCCTTGAGCGGCGACGGTTCGCAGACGGGAGACTGTGCGAATCCGGTGGCCTCGCGAACGGAATACGACGCGTCAACAACCCGGTGGAGAGAGGTTGCGAGGCCGAGGGCGACGAAGGCGAGGATGAGGAAGGAGGGGCGCGTGGGGGGGAAGGCGGACGCGCCGCGTTGGCGCGCCATGAGTATCGGAATGATCATTAACGGTGCACACTATTGATGGGGTATGAGGATACGTAGGGCTAGTCTCTTGCGAGTCAAGTCAATCTAAAGCACAAGCTGAGACAACTGAGGGTTACTTGAGACGGGAGGACATTTTATCCTTATCGTTCCGACTTTCTTTGCCTGGTTCTGCCGATTCGAGTTGCAGTGTGGGGCGGCTGGATCGGTATACTCTCGCTGGCGCTTCCCGTTTTCTATGCTAACCTCCACTTCCCTTCTCCTCTCTCACTAGCTCTTCTCACGTGTCAACGTTTTTCGAATCGTGGCTGATAAGCCGAGAACCTCTGAGCCAATGGATGTCGAGAGCTAGCCCCTCTCTTAACGGGCCAAGTGGTGTTGGTGTGAGCAGCCGCGTACGTGCTTGCTTGTTTCATCCTGTTAGCGGTGGTGATTTTAGGAGGATTTGTGGGGCAGAGACAGGATAGCAGGCGCCGTGAACTCCGGAGAGAGCAGCAGTGTGCATTTGATTTTATGGCGTCTCGGGTGGAGAGAAGGGAATGGAATGATAACACCTGGCAGCACGCAGGCGAATTTCTGTGCATTACAGAAAGCGATTCGGGTGTGACTGGTGGTTGCGATGCGTTTCAATGTTTCTACCGAGCTGGGGGGAATGGAGCGACTCGTAAAGCATCGCTATAAGTTTCCCCGACTCCCGAACCAAGGCTGTTGCCTTGGCATCACTGGCGACGTGATTTGGCGACGGCATCCCTGGTTTCGCATTACAAGCGAAGAGGGCGACGACGAGCGAAATATTGACCCTGCTCAAACCAAGCCATCACCCGGAATGTTTTATCATCTTTCCCATTATACATTGCCATACTTCCTCGTGTATTCATTGCTAATTCTTCAAACTTTAAATTCCTACCTGAATCTAACACAGATTCACACTAAAGTGGCTTATTCCACTATGCCAGCTGTATCCCATATATACGTCTCGTTATAGACTGATTCACCTGATGAACCATAATATTCTGTTGCCCACCTCCTTGCGTTAGGGTAATAAGGCAGGATTAGACTTCCATGTCATGCGCCGAGTTAGCAAAACATGCCTAGAGTATATGTGGTTTACTTTGTAATGCTGCCACCTTTCACGTGAAAGGAGCTCGCTTAGGTTGCACAACCGGTGCATTACCACCACCACCACAGCTGCTACCGTTACAAATCCCCCAGTAAAACTCCCAAAGCTTTTTCCAAATAGCCCACCGGCGTGCCCTCCTCGCCACCCTGTGTTGCTCTTCATACACTCCGCATTCGCACGTTGCACACCCACATCCTCCGCTACTATGATCATCATCATCGTCATCGTCATCGTCATCGTCATCATCGTCGTCGTCTTTACAGTTGATGCTGCAAGGCCTGGGCGTTCTGCTCTGCGGCGCGCGGATGATCTGTGGAGGGTAGTGGCACGAGTAGTCCACAATTGCAATGCCCCTGGTGGGAAGAAAGCAGGACGTTTGGGGGAGACATGAGATCGTGGAAACCCCAATGGCAGGGTAACGGCAAGGGCAAGGCCAACGGCAACAACATCGAAATCAACTTAGAGAGTGCAGAGAGAAGGGTATTGGGAAAGTGGATGTAGGGGGGAGCATGGGGAACACACAGTCAGATGGGCTGCCACACACCCGTGTTGTGAGTGTGTGCTGTATCGGGTCTAGACGCATGACTCATGGCACATGCGAAGTCACATGGCACACGCGCACTCACAAGAGAATAAAGACCACCATGGAACAGGCATGCAAGAATCCCACAAGAATCTCACATGGCAGCGCTGTGGTAAGAGAGCGTGGACATGAGATTACGCGAGTGCGCCCTTGTGTTGAAAAGAATAATCACACAAGAATTGCACATTGCGGACTAGATTGCGGCGCCATGGTAGGAGAGCGAGGACATGGCATTGCGCGAGTGTATCCGATATAGCAGGCATCTCAGGTTCCCCTTTTTGAATAACTACATACTATAGAGACATACGACTCACATGGCACATGGCACATCGCACGTGGCACATGCGACTCACATGGCTCATGGCACATGGCACGTGGCACATGCGACTCACATGGCACATGGCATATCGCACGTGGCACATACGACTCACATGGCTCATGGCACATGGCACGTGGCACATGCGACTCACATGGCACATGGCACATCGCACGTGGCACATGCGACTCACATGGCAGCGCCGTGGTATGAGAGTGTGGTCATGGCGTTGCGCGAGTGCGCCCACACCACCCAGCTCTTCCCCTCGATGTGGAATATCGACTGCGACCCAGTGCCGTTCTCCCGAGAAAACCTGCATGCAGGGGGTGGGGGGAGAAACGATGGGTTATTAGTGTTGGGGGAGTTATGAGTCAACTCAAGAGTGCGCCCACACCACCCAGCAGAAAGAGGGTTTTTGTTTTGTTGGGAGGAAGAGGGAGAAAGAGAGAGGGAGAGAGAGCATAAGAGAGAGGGGGGGAGGGAAGAGAGACAGTAAGAGAGATTCACAGAGAAAGAGAGAGAGAGAGAGAGAGAGAGAGAGAGAGAGAGAGAGAGAGAGAGAGAGAGAGAGAGAGAGAGAGAGAGAGGGAGAGAGAGAGAGAGAGCGGGAGAGAGAGAGAGAGAGAGAGAGAGAGAGAGAGAGAGAGGGAGAGGAAAAATGTGATGCAAATTAGTGTAGACGAGCCTGCAGCAGCATTCCTCACTTGATAACAGTGGAGCAATCTCAATAGCCAAGTTGAATTCTGAGTCAACTCAAAGGTCAAGATTCAACTCCAGTGGCATCACTCACTTGACGATGGTAGAGCAATCCGGCGCCGCCTCAACAGTCTTGTCGAACCCGAGCGAAAAGTTCATGGTGGGAAACACCTGCGTTCGCCGGTAACCAGTCATTTCGTACGCAGCTACACCCGGGGTGTTACCAATCACGGCGTCAGCGGGGGCCATCTCGCCGTTATCGGACCAGCCTATACCGAGCCAGCCCGACCCCGCGTAGCTGTCTTGCGTCGCCTCGAGCGCCATGTGCACGGTGCAGCCCTCCACGTTCCAATGCAGAATGAGCCTGATACGATACACATGCAAGGGAGCAGAGTTTGAGAGAGAGAGTATCTTAAGAGTTTGTTTGAGTAGCTTCCAGCGCCATGTGCACGGTGCAGCCCTCCACGTTCCAATGCAGAATGAGCCTGATACGACACACATGCAAGGGAGCAGAGTTTGAGAGAGAGAGTCTCTTAAGAGTTTGTTTGAGTAGCTTCCAGCGCCATGTGCACGGTGCAGCCCTCCACGTTCCAATGCAGAATGAGCCTGATACGACACACATGCAAGGGAGCAGAGTTTGAGAGAAAGAGTCTCTTAAGAGTTTGTTTGAGTAGCTTCCAGCGCCATGTGCACGGTGCAGCCCTCCACGTTCCAATGCAGAATGAGGCTGACAGGGCGACACGCACGCAAGGGGGCAGAATGTTGGGATTGCCTCAAAGGTGAGAGCGTTTGGATTAGAGCAGTAATTACACGCCGGGGTTTGGGGGCGTCTCAGCAATCGCCCCAAGAAACCACCCCAAAAACCCGCCCCTTTGAGGCGTCTCAAAGCTTCATTTGGAGGTCATTACACGCAGCCAAGGGGCGGATTTTTGGGGCGCCTCAATAATCGTTTTCGAGGCCCTGCAAAAATCTCCGCGCTCCAATGCAGAATGATTTTGACGCCGAAAGGGAGATCATTACACACATCTAAACTCTTCACGCTTCATTGAGAATGATTCTGACGCCTACGAGGAGAACATTACACGCAGCCCAGCGAATGATCATTACACGACAGGGTTCTTGAGACGCATCTAGACTCTCAACGCTTCATTGAGAATGATTCTGACGCTTACGAGGAGAACATTACACGCAGCCCAGCGAATGATCATTACACGACAGGGTTCTTGAGACGCATCTAGACTCTCAACGCTTCCATGAGAATGATTCTGACGCCTACGAGGAGGCGATCCAACCAGGCCGGCGGAATGATGCAGCCAAGGGACGGGTCATGAGGCAGCACAGACCAGCAGGCAGCAGGGTATTACAAGGCAGCCTAGCGCGCATGCCGCATCCATGTGATTTTTGAGGCGCCGTAATGATGCAGCCACGGGACGGGTCATGAGGCAGCACAGAACGGCAGGCAGCAGGCGGCACAAGGCAGCCTAGGGCACATGCCGCATTCAAGTGCCAGGAAATGCGGAGAAACGAAGCATTTAGGACCAGATATGTGACGTACTTAGGACCAGAAAATAAGACGTACTTGGAGTCGTAGAGCTTCGCAGAGGTGAATTTTCAGTCGACTCAAAACTCACCTCTAAAAGATCAGAGGAGACGGCGCACAGACTGCAGCACACAGGATCAGAGTCAGGACGTACTTTGAGTCGTAGAGCTGCGCAGAGTAATTATAACCCTGGAGAGTCGACGGCGGGCACGCGTTACCCATCACCACCTTTTCGCACTCGCACTCCTCCTCCTCTTCCTCTTCCTCATCCTCCCCCTCCCCCTCGTGCTGGACCTCCGAAGAGGACGGCGGAGGATAACCGGGCGCCGCGGTGCTCGGCTTGCGCGGAGAACCTCCCCCCTGCCCGCCGTCGCCGTAGCCGCCGCCGCCGCTGCTGCCGTACTCGGGGTTTGTCCCTGGCGGTGGAGGTTCGGAAGGTTCGGAAGGCGCGGAAGGTGCGTAAGGCGCGAGCGGAGGATCATCATCCGCGGGGTCTTGTTGCGGCTTTTGCTCGTCCGCGGGTTCCTGTTGCGGCGCTTGCTTCTTCGGAGTTTTCCCGCTGCCCCCGCTCGATTTCGGTTGCTCGTCATAATCGCCACCTACGTCAGTAGGATCAGAAGGTGCGCTTTTATTTCCGGCGCCTCCTGGCGTCTCCTGAGTCGGGTCAAACAGCGCGCCGTCTCCCCTATCGTCGCTAGTAGGAGGGTCAGCAAGGTTCGAGTCGTTATCTGCGGGATTAGAACCGTCGTCTGTAAAATCGTCATCACTGGGCGAAGGTGCGTCGTCTGTTGCAGGCGGATCATCAGTTGAAGCAGGCGGATCATCCGCTGTAGCAGGCGGGTCGGCTGTGGCAGGCGGGTCATCGGTTGTAATAGGCGGGTCATCGGTTGTAATAGGCGGGTCATCGGTTGTAGCAGGCGGGTCGTCGGTTGCAGCAGGCGGTTCGGCGGGTGAATGATCCACAAAAGGCTCGTCTTGCGTGGGGGGCTCGTCGGTGCCATCGCCGCCGCCTGAGCCTCCTTGCCCACTGGGCACTTCTTGGGTATCCGAGGGGCCTTGACCATCGTTCGCGTTGTTATTGCCGTCATTCGCACCGCTTTTTTCGCCGTTATCTCCGTCGGACGTGCTTGGATCCGTGAAACTCCAGTTCCACATGCCGTCGTCTCTGCTCCTGCTGCCACTGCCAGTCCCCCCTCCTTCTTCCGTTGTGCTTCCGCCACCACCGCTGCTGTCGCTCTCTTCCGTGGTAGTCAAGGCCCCGCTATGGTCACCGTCGGGCGGGGAGTCGAGCTGTTTGTTAGTGGCGGGTCCGCCTACGGCGGGGTCGACAATATCTAGAGAAACATCTTCCGATGTGGCACTTTGAGCATATGCCGCACCGGCGGGCGTGATGTGACTGGCTAGCGAAGCGAAGGGAAAGGATGCTACCAGTGCGACGGAAAAGACAACAATAAGGTACTGCCATGTTCTGAAAAATATCCGTCGCGAAGCCGATCTCGATCCTTGACGCAGCGCCATCGGAAACTAAATGTGGTTCCTTGCGGCCCTCTTACCCTGTATGCTGCATGCTTGGCAGAAACAAAGCTAAACAAAGCTTCAGATTTTCTTATTCCTAACAACTGACACCTACAGGGCTGTGTGCCTAGCCTATGTGCCTTGCGTACACGCTAACTCAATCGATCTATTACTGGACGAAGTTTCAGTATCAAACTGAACGCTCTGACGGTTCACATTCTGCATGCTGATCGGAACACGAGCACCAATGTCGTTTGCTCTGGTCGAACAAAATTGTTCCGTAACACCGCGCTTTTTCGTCTGTGCGGATGGCGAAGGACCCTTGCACCGACAGGTGGTTTGTTCTGGGGTGGTTAGTTATCACCGACCACGAGCAGAGGTGGACACTAGATCAGGTGACGGCAGTGCAAGCAAGAGGAGGAATCGTGCAGCCGTCACTTTTCTTGTTGGAGGGGCCATTCTAGTGGAGTCATTTTGCCCCTCCCTGGATATTTCCGCTTCCTTGTGTGGAATGTGCAGCAATGGCTCCAGTTTGGGTGGGTAGTTGGATGGAAGACAAAATTGAAATGTCGCGACTCGGTTTGGGAATGCCTAATCGAACCGCGGTGATCTCGTCGCTTCTGGGCGTGGTTGAGTTAGCCGAACCGCACGTCACGTTTCCCTGTGGGTGGGGAGCTTTGCTTGGACCTCTCTATTGGTTCGATGCCACATGGAACCTCAATGACGGAAGGCGACTGCAAAGACGAGTCTGTTGGTGTGCACAACGTGGGTGATTGGTTGACGAGGGCTATACGCGCGAACCGATATCGCGAGGAACTCACGCAGGAAACGGTAGCTGGTTAGTAAATCAACAACATAACTTCTACCTGCATTCTAAGTACAATAGCCACAAAATTGATTTCTCTACACATCCAAAATTGCAGGCAACACATCATATATACTTGCTCTTTCAAAATTTTAGGACAGCCCACTCGAACTAGTAAGTAGGCACATCGCATCGCATGCTGCATGACCCGAACTTGGAACAATATGTAAATCACATATGCTATGCTGCCTATGTGTGTTAATCATGCCTTACTCGATGGTGTCAATTGTTGTAGCCTGTAGTGAGGCTTGTTTTAGGGGGTAAAAGTATTAGGATTTACTATATGTACCCCAACCCACATCAATGAAGACACAATTCAGTTTCTAACATGGTATCACCTAGGTTAGGATCATGTAGAATCCCATTCCTCTTGCCCAAGCCTCCCAAGCCTCACACGCCTCACCCGTACCGTCCTGTCTCGTAGCGCCGCAGTAGCGCCCCTTTTGTACGCCCGTCCGCCGCGCACCTGCAATCACGCTTGCCGCAACGCGTTCTGCCCGTTCCCGCGCCCGTCTTTTCTCGTCCCCCGTCCCTTCCCGTCCACCGTCCCATCGCGCGCCTGCCCTAAGCGCCCGCCGCGCCTGCCATGAGCGCCTGTCAGCGGGCCTGCCCTTAGCGCCCACCACGCGCCTGCCCTTTGAGCCCGCCGTGGGCCTGCGTTCTTGCGCTTGCCGCGTCTTCCCTTTGCTCTTGTTGCGAGCCTGCCCTTAGAGCTCGCCGCCCCGGCCCTTCGCGTTCCTCTAGCATCCGCCTACTTTTGGTCGCGCACCTACCCTGCGCACGCCCGCGCGCCTCCTGCCCAACCGCTTGTCTCCTTGCCGTGCTTGTCGCCCTGCCCTCGCCTGCCACTGCGCCCTGCCGGCGTTATAGTTTCTGCTTTCGTTATGGCGACGCCTAGGGTCCTTCGCTTTGACGCCGAGGGTAGGCCACTCGAGTTCTATGTCTGGCTCCAGCGTGCGCAGCGTCTCCTAAATAGTCAAGTGCATGCAAATGAGTCTCTGTGGGCGCACGCATCCGGTGACCTCCCCATGCCCCCGGATCCTAATACCCTAGGCTTTGATGCTACCCCTGAGGGCAGAGAGCGTGTTGCGCGTCAGCGTGCTGGCCTGAATGCCTGGCAATCGTGCGACGCATCGCCCTCAACAGCCTACTTCCTAAGTCTGAGGAGACTCATTTCAAGCAGGTTCGTACGGCTAGTCAGTTCCTTACTGCGATCAAGGCCCGCTATGCTACTCCTTCCACTGTCTCTCTTGGCCGCCTGTTCCTCCCCTTCCTGTTTCTTGACCTCGCCTCGTTTGAGCGCTCTGGTGATCTGATCGCTCACATGCCCTCACTGGACTCTAGCTTTCGCGCTGCCTACACTGACGCACAGCTTGCACTGCTACCTCCTCCCATGGCGATCACTATCTATTTCATCGCCAGTAGCCTCCCTGACCGCCTTGCCTCGGTATGTGACGCGCTTCTTATGAAGCACCCTAGCGAGCTCACTATCGGCGTCCTTGCGTCTGCTCTCAGGGACGTCGAGAGCAGCCTCCGCTAAGTAGCCTCCGCCTCTGGTGCTGTGCCCCCCCCCACTATTTCACGGGTGCACGGTCCCTCAGCTGCCCACCTTTACTGCTTCCCTCGCCACTACCGCAACTGACGTGACCGCAGCTACTGCTATGAATTCTTCGCGGTCTAGGGGTCGGAGTGGTAGGAGGGGCGGCCAGGGTGCGGGTGGCGGCGGCAGCGGCGGGGGTGGAGCCGCGGGTGGTGGTGGCGGGAGTGCATGAGCTGGTGGAGCGCCTGGTGCTAGAGTGGCGGCTTGGTACCTGACTCGGCGACAGCAGCAGCAGTGGCCACTCCTCTCGCAGTAGCAGCAGCAGCAGAGGCAGTAGCAGGTGCCTGAGCAGGGATCAGGACCGCGTCAGCTGTCGCGCAGTGCCGTCCACTCGAGTGTTGTTAGCTTGGGTGCTAGTGTTGCTGGGGTGCATATTGCTACGGTAGTAGAGATGTTACGGTTGCTACGCGGGAGAGTGAATGCAATTCCGGCGTTGCGTGTACCTGTTGCTGGACCATCAACGACAACAGACGTGTTGCTTGTCTATCGTGTGGTATGGAACACAGAGCCCTTATTATGTTCCACTGGCAATCAGAAACACCCGACCAGCTGTAACCACAGATGTAAGTATATTTCATAAAACAAACAAGGATACCAAAAAATTGTTTCGTGCAGTACACTTATATGGCAGTACACTTGTGAATGTATATGTGGCAGTACTATTATTTAAAGAATGGCAGTACAGGCCTAGGAAAACAACACAATCTCAGGTGACACTGCACTAGCAGTGCACTCTCATGCCTACAACCTAGTAAATATCCACACTGCAGCGGTAAACCCCATGATAGCTGCTATGGCTGAGCTATCTTGGGTTAGAACAGAACCAGGTTAGGAAGGACTGGACCCCAGTCCTCTCATTACCCCTCGAGCGTGGTAAGAGGGAGCAAGTCGGAATGTAACTGCAGTGCATATATTTAACGGTCCTTCACTGGAGCACCCAGGCTGTCGTCTCGTCATGCTTGACCATCACACCCACTGTTCTGGATCACTGTAATGCCAATGCCCACCGAGGAGGAAGCGGGCGGAGGGCGTATAAGTGCAGAGAGCCTGCAGACCCAGTAATGAAAGGCGGGTTGAGAGACCCGCGAATCAGATTCCTAACCTCATCACCAGAGTGAGACCCCCATCACCAGAGTGAGACCCCCATCACCAGAGTGAGACCCCCATCACCAGAGTGAGACCCCCATCACCAGAGTGAGACCCCCATCACCAGAGTGAGACCCCCCATCACCAGAGTGAGACCCCCATCACCAGAGTGAGAGCCCCATCACCAGAGTGAGACCCCCATCACCAGAGTGAGACCCCCATCACCAGAGTTTGACCTTCATTCAGCAACCCATGCGTCGACCAATCAGCTGCGTTCCGCATCAATTATCGTCGTCATCATCCTTGTCGTTGATCTTGTTGCTCCCAGGCGCCATGATCACCTTGGGCCGTTGATTGCACGAGAAGTCGATCTGGTGCAACCCGCGGTTGGCCCCGTGGTACCCCACCGTCTGAAACATGTCCTGCGCGTACGCCCAGATGATGTAAGACGGCGTCTTGAGGTCCATTATCGGCGCCAGCCCGCCATCAGCAACCTTCCGGTAGAACCTGGGGAAGGAGAAGGGGGAGGAGAGGGGGAGGAGAGGGGGAGGGGAGGGGGAGGGGAGGGGGAGGGGAGGGGGAGGGGAGGGTTGGCCCCGTGGTACCCCACACGGTCTGAAACATGTCCTCAGCGTACGCCCAGATGATGTAAGACGGCGTCTTGAGGTCCATTATCGGCGGCAGCCTGCCAGACATCCCTCAGTTGTTACTCAGAGTCAACCGATTCGACAGCTGCACGCCCGTCTTGGTGTACCTGCCCAGCGTGTACGCCTTCACCTGCACGCCCGTCTTGGTGTACCTGCCCAGCGTGTACGCCTTCACCTGCCCGCCCGTCTTGGTGTACCTGCCCAGCGTGTACGCCTTCACCTGCCCGCCCGTCTTGGTGTACCTGCCCAGCGTGTACGCCTTCACCTGCCCGCCCGTCTTGGTGTACCTGCCCAGCGTGTACGCCTTCACCTGCCCGCCCGTCTTGGTGTACCTGCCCAGCGTGTACGCCTTCACCTGCACGCCCGTCTTGGTGTACCTGCCCAGCGTGTACGCCTTCACCTGCACGCCCGTCTTGGTGTACCTGCCCAGCGTGTACGCCTTCACCTGCCCGCCCGCCAGGTTCCCCTCGCAGTGCCTTGCGCATCGACGCGAAACTCATACCGCAGGGGAAGGAGGGATTCTCACCAGAACATGGTGTTGCCGGTCCCAGTCGTCGACGTTCCTCTGTCGTTACCCAGAGTGAGCCGATTCGACACCTGCACGCCCGTCTTGGTGTAGCCCCCCAGCATGTAAGCCTTCACTTGCCCGCCCGCTAGGTTCCCCAGCACCGCGTCCGCGGGCGCCATGGCGCCTTCGCGCGACCAGCCAACCCCGTACCACCCGTTGTCCACGTTCGTTCCGGACTTGGCCTCCACGGCGACCTTGAGAGTGTTGGTTCCGATGATCTTCCAGTGGAGATAGAGCCTGAAAAGGCGGGATGAGGGGAGGGATTTGGGAGGGGGTTGACTTTGTTGACTCAGCGTAGCCTCCACGGCGACCTTGAGAATGTCGGTTCCGATGATCTTCCAGTGGAGATAGAGCCTGGTCGGGTGGGGGGAAGGGGTGAGGGTTGACTGCGTTGACTAGGTTGACCTCCACGGCGACCTTGAGAGTGTCGGTTCCGATGATCTATAGAGCCTGAAAAGGCGGGATGAGGGGGGGGGGGAGGGGGGAGTTGGGACATTGTTGAATTAGCTTGGCCTCCAAGGCGACCTTGGGAGTGTCGGTATTGATAATTAAGTGGAGGGTGAGCCTGAGTGGGGGGAGCGGGGAGGATGGGAGGGTTGACTGCGTTGACTAGCTTGACCTACACGGCGAACGAAATGGGAATGACGTGGCAAAACGGAAGTGACGTGTGAAAAGAAGTGCTGAGCTCACTTGTCCTGCATCAGAGGCGTCGACAAGGCGTCCCAGCAGGGTCGACGCAGCGCATTTCGAGTCAGCACGGGGGGGGGGGGGGGAGGAGGGGGGGGGGGGGGGGGGGGGCAGCAGGCAGGACCTGTAAGTGGCATTCTTGTTTAGTACTTGTTCAGCAGGGGGGGGGGGAGTAAAAAAACTCACTTGTTCAGCACCAGAGGCGTCGAGAAGGTGAATCCCAGCAGGGCCGACGCGTCGCACGAGTTCCCCGTCTTCAGCCCCCCGCTTCCGCCGCTTCCGCTGCCGCCGCTGCTGCTCGTGTTCTTGGCGGGCGTGGTCGGAGGTTTCGGCGAAGGCGTTGCCGGGGATTTACCGGGGACAGCTGGGGACTTTGGGGGGATTGACGGAAACTTGGCGGGAACGGACGGAGACTTAGCGGGAACGGACGGAGACTTAGCGGGGCTGGTTTTGGGGCCCGGCGAGGGGGTCTTGGGGGACGGCGAGGGGGACTTGGGAGAAGGGACGGCGGGGTTTTTCGGCTTGCTCTGAGTCGTCACGGGCTGGGCTCCCGCGGCGCAGGTGAAATCAACAACGAGCTCGCCGCGGCGACTTTTCCGGAGCGCGACATCCTCGGTGTTCTCGACCGACCACGCCCAGATGAGGCGGTTCGGGCCGATATTGACTGGCACCGTTCCGTCGTCCGTGGAGCGAGTAAACCTGACGTGGCATAACGGGGTGGAAGGAGAGGAATGAGTGGCCGCGATTCAAAGCAGGAATATCGCAGCTCGGATTCATCTGCCATGGTGGTAGTTACTTACTGGCAAGTCTGATTGAAAACAAACTGCTAGTTTCTCGCGAAATTCTGCTCTTTTTTTTCCCGCGAATTTCATGCTTAGATGTTACAATGTTCGCTGAATCTCACCTTGCGATGAAGCCGCCGGCGCCGGGCTTTTCGATGCTCGTGTCGCTGAGGTGAACCGACTTCGACTTGAGAGTCGAGCCCGCGCCGTAACCGTAAATGTCATAAGCTCCGACGGATTTACTCGGCAGATTACCAACAATCAAATCTGATGGGAACTTGCTTTTCCGCGCGGACCAGCCCACGGCGGCCCATCCGCTCTTCCCCTTGCTTGTCGGTTTCGCCTCCAGAGCAAAGTCGATCGATGATTGGCTCGTGATCTTCCAGTGCAGGCTCAACCCGCCAAGGCGCGTCAGGTTGACGGAATTCGTGAAGCCTGACAGAGTAGACTGGAGGCAGGTTGCGGGGCCGATAATTACGTCGTTGTCATCGTCCGCCTGGCTCGCTTTGACCTTCCCGTCCGAGGGCTTGGGCTTGGGCTTCGGGTTTACCGTCCCCGTTTGAGCCTTCCCCACTTGGTTCACGGGGCTCTTCCCCGCCGAGCCGCCAAACGACTTCCCCACCGAACTCGTTCCTTGCGAGACGACAGAAGACGGCGCTGACGGCGTTGACGTGGGCTTTTTGACCGGCGCCGCAGGAACTGGGGAAGGCTTCGGTTGAGACGGCGCCGGTTTGGTAGGCGGGGGCGATTCCTTCGGCGGGTTTGGCGCGGGGGTGGCGGAGGGTGTGGGCGGAGGCTGGCTGTCCGGATCCTCCTCGCCGCTCAGCGGGTCGTCAGAGTCAACGGGAGTTACCGGGGGAGTCGAGCCGGCGAAAGGGTCCTGGTCGAATGGGGATCCGATCCCCGAGTTGCTTTTGCTGGTCGGAGCGGACGGCGGCAAGGTGGGTGGTTTGGTGTATCCAGACGCTGGTTGGGTGTCGGGTGCTTGTTGGGTGCCGCCGCGGGTTTTCATGTCAGCGGCATGAGCGCTGAGGGAGGAGACGACGAGAAGAAGCAGCGCGCAGGATGTGACTCTGACGAGCGTTATTTTTCTTCCTGGAAGCCTTTGAATTGCCGTCGAAACAGCCGCCATCGTGCGGGTCGGAAGCGAAGGGAAATACTGATGTTGGTGAATGCAAGGAATAGCTCGAGTGAAACGCGGTCACAGCTCGATTCACGAAGGAAGGAAGCTAAGGAAGCGAGTCCGCCTCTAGAGATGCGAACGCTGACTATCGAAGGCAAGCAGGAGGGGCTGCTTCCTTGGGATCCGCAAGTTTGATAGGTACTGTGTCGAAGAAGGGAATATATTTCTCTCTCGGATGTCGGAGTTGGAGGGGAGGCGCTGAAATTCGGTGCGTTGCAATTCTCACGAATGTGCGGCTTGTGATGTGAATGTTTCAACGATCAATTCGGAGATGTGCGGGAATTGGATTCTACGGTGCGCGCGCGGACCGCGCCTTGATAAAATGTTGAAACGGGAAAGTTCGAAAAGAGGGGCTGGGTGACGTGTACATTGCAGCTGTTGGGCGAAAATGTCGCACGATGCTGGTGAGAGAAAAGCAGTCGCCAGTAACCTTGCTGATGATGGAATGGACCTGCCTGTTTTTGCAATCGTGTCTTTTCCCGGTTGGCGCTGACAGGCAAAAGCGACAAACTAGGACGACAGCGTAAAAAGCGCAGTCGTTGATCCGTGCCACGTTGGCACCCAATAGTCTTGAAACGTTGCAAGTATTAGCACATTTAACATACAACAGCCATACAAGAGTGGTAAATATTGATATTTTAACCATGTGTAACTATGAGTACATAACTGTCAATCAATACATTTTATAAGAAGGCAGACAATTACGATTTTTCTCATTAATAAACAAATAAAATTCACATTGGATTTAAGCAAACTCTGCAAAGATGCTGTGAAGATCCAGAACCTCTGCTATTGTTGAACTTAGAGCTCATATATAGCTAGCAATAGCATATGTGGACTTTGTAAATTACATGGACAGGCAAGAACACTGATCGAATACCGAAGCACAAGACTCACGCGAACGCGAGTCGTTCAGGTCTCGAGAAACGACACAGCGGCAAAGGCGCTCAACAGACCACCTTGTTTGGCTTCGTTCGTGAAGTTTGTTCCCACGATTGTTCGCGAATGCATCCAGCGTGTCATTTGGAGGGCAGGAATCAGCCCCACAAATCTGACGTGGTAACTGCGGTGCGACGGAAATTCGCGACCCGAGCTCTCAATGTGTTCGCATCTGTTGTCGTAAACTGCACGTTCTTTCTATGCGCCTCGGAATTAGCGCCGCATTTCGCAACTCCTATGGCCATCACTCTCTCCTCCTCCCCCCCCCCTCGCCTCCCCCTCCTCCCCCATTCCAGGCTCGTCTGTTTCGGCTCCCCCCCATTACACTAGGGCGCAAGCTTTCCCCACCCCACCCTCCACCTCCCTTCATCACCACCCGACGATGATCCAACCAACCCAACCCAACCCATCGCCAATGCAGCAAGCAACGGGCTGCATCGAGAACAAGGGAAGGAAAGCGACGTGTTTTGTGCTGTCCCACTGCCTGAGGATCTAAAGATTCAGTCGAACGAAATCAGGGGAGCTCCGGTCTGGTCGATACTACACGACTAACGAATACCCGAAATGAGACCCCAATCGAGAACCGGTTGGCGAACCAATCTTGCCGCTCAGTTTCCTTAGAAGGCCCAGAGAAGTCTCAAGTGCTTCCCAAGGCGGAGCAAATTACGCCTATTCTCTGCTTGGTGCAACCCTGCCTCCTCTATTTGCTTGGTGCTCATCCGCGATTCGTAGTTTTTCCCCGCCGCCGCACTCCTCTGGGCGGTCCGCACTCCCTAAGAGAGCCAGCAATCCCACGCGCTGCGCCATCTCCCACCAGAGCAAAACAGGGCGCGCATGAGGGAAAGTGTGTTCAATTTCACTACCATGGAGCGGAAAAAGCTCCGCCACGCCGTCTCGCCGACTCTCGTAACCCTGTTACTGCACGCCCTCGCAATACCTCCCATGCGCGCTGCCCCCACTCCGCCAGCGGGAGGCGCGGCGTCGATCGATCTCGCCTTCCCCTTTCAACCCTCCTCCTCCGCACCGCAGTTCGAGCCAGACACCCTCCCCGACCTTCCCGCCTCCTCGCAACCCACCATTCCGCCAGTTCCCAACCCCGCGACCGTTCCTTCCGCTCCGAGCGGAAGCCCCGCTGCGCCGACCGACTCCCCACGCCCTCCTTCCCCCGAACCGTCCACCTCCCGTGCCCCTGTAAAACCGGGCGTTCCGGATTCAAATACTTCCGCCCGTCCTTCCCCCAAGGGGACCGCCCCTGCTGTTGTAACGCCAGGTGCCGCCTGCCCCGCGTCCGACCTGGACGGATACACCTTCTCGGCTCCGCTCATTCCCGACCAGTAAGATACGCTCTTCATAAACCAGTGATTGCTGCTCTTTTCCTCGTTCGCGAACAGTACGCGCCCTCCCTGCCAGAGTTTTCAAATGTGATTCCTGTAAAAGCCCCTCCCTCGTTTCTTCCCTACGCCTCACTCCTCTCCCTCATGCTCCTTCTTCCTCGTTTCCTTCTCCTGCTGCCCTCCCGCCAGGTTCCTCCTCCTCTGACGCTTGCGCGCTTCGGCGCTGGAGAATGCGGTGGAGGCGCAGCTGAGCAGACAAATCGACAACTGCCTTAGCTTCTCATGCTCTTGATGGCCCGTTTCCTTCCCCCGTTTCCCTCTTTTGTTCCCCCGTCCCGTTCCCCCCTCCCCAGATTCGTGCTGCACTGGCGGCTGCGCGCGTCGGCGCTGGACATCGCGGTGGAGGCGCGCTTGAGCAGCCAAATCGACAACGGTTGGATGGGCGTCGGCTGGTCGCTCAACGGCGCAATGTCGCCGTCCGATGCCGTCATCGGCAATCTCGAGGGCGGTGCGATCCGCTCGTTCTCGCTGGGCGGCTACACTGCGGATTCGGTAAACGCGACGAGTCACATCAACCTCGGGGATAAGGGTTCGACATCGACGGCTTCGGGGTCTACAGTGTTCTGGTGTGTTACTTTTACTTCGTTACTTTCTCGTTTACATTCACAACTTTGGCGTGCATTTGTGCTAAAACTGCACCCTTCAACAACCATCTGCATATTTCTTCTGTGCTTCACATTCGCGGCTTGTGGGATTAACGAGTCTCGAAACTAACCCCATTACAAGGAGCACCTCTGAATTCATGAGGATGTTGGTGACTGTTGGTGAACAGAAGAAGGCCTGTTGGTACAGACGAGCCAGCGGATGTTAGCCAGGCGCCTACTCTTGGACCTTTCGACTAACCTCCCAACCTGCATACGACTAACCTCCTGTGCCAACTGTGACTACGGGGAAAGGAGTGAAAGGGCAGCCTATATTCCTAGAGAGGAAGGATTGAGTAGGACCGCGAGGAAAAGAAAGAGGGAGCCAGAAATTGGGGGAGAAAGACGTCAGAGGGGAGAAGGAACAAATGGGACGCCGGGAAATGGAGCCAGAAATCGGGGTTCTGGGGTTGAATGGGATTGGTGCGCTTGGAATGCTGGGTGCGGTCCCATGCTCCCTCCATGCACGTGTATGTTGCTTGCAAAGTCTCCTGTGCTTGTGGATAATGCATGTATTCCTTGTGATTCACATCCACACCAACACATGCATCCCCCTTTTGTATTCCAGGTTCTCCCGGTCGCCAGGAGATGGAGGCTTGGTGCCGATCCAGCTGTCCGGACCTAACTTCCTCATCTGGGCCTACTCTAGGGACATGTTCCAGACCCTTGGTTACCACAGCACCCATAGGTAACCCTCGGTACCACCACTCCTGGCAGAATGATGTGTCCCTACTAGTGGTGCCCCCGCTCGTCCTTGTGCTTGTCCCGTCTACTTTCATTCTTATCCCTTTACCTTGCTATCCCTCTCCTTTCGCCCACGCCTACCTTACCACTCATTCCCACTTATTATTTTACCCCACTTCGTCATTTCCCCACCTCATTCCCCCTACTTCATTCCCCCAACCTCGTCCTCCCCACCTCATCTTCTTCGCACCTCATCCCCACCACCTGATCACCCCAACCTCATTCCCCCAACTTCATCCCCACCACCCTAACCCCACCACCTCATCCCCCCACCTCATCTTCCCCCTGGTAACACAGAGGAGTATCTCAGGTGGACTTCTCATGCAACACTGCACCCCAAGTGCTGCTGGGGGAGGGCAGCCCGGAGGACGACGACCAAGGGGAATTTACCCTGGATAATCCTTACGATCTATCCCTTTCCGACCCTCTGGGGGAAGACGGCAACGATGAGAGCACGGGAAGCAGTAATGGAAGTGGTTACAGCAGTACAGGAGCCGTGCCTCGTGGTGACCAACCTGGCGGGGTGTTACGGAAAGTGTGGAATGTGTTGTTCCCATCATTTGGCTGAGGTAATCGGCAGAGCTGATGTGTGCCTTACTTCATTCGTCGGCGAATCTGATTAGTGGGCGCCATACTTCATTCGTTCGTTGAGGTTCTCATAGTGTTGTAATCCTATATGGTGTTGGTAGTGGTATAGTGGGGCTAACATGTTAGCATTTAGAGGAACTAAGGAAATAACGGTTGTGTAGGAAGATAGTAAAGTTTCTAAAGCTTGAACCAGTGCAGCAAACATACAGCTCGTGACGAGGTTAGGGTTCAGACACATCTCCCACAGATACGGTATGAACTAGAATCTTTCAAGCCCTGCAATGAGATTGAATCGCAAGTTCTACACAACATTTGCTTGCATAAGAGTAGTTTTCTTGAAAACATAGGCCAGCTGTTCCCGTACGAATACCATTGAAACAGTGGGAGCGGATTGCACTAAGATACCGGTACTAGTATGAGCGAAGTGCAAACGGCCACGCGATGCTGCAACCTAGTTTATGCAATGCTGGCAGCAAAGTTCGGGTTAGTCCGACTACGTCACGTACAACAGTTCAAAGTTTGGCAAAAATACCGGTAGCGCGTGAGGTCGCGAAAACCGTTAACCAGTAACGGGTTAAGACCGATCGAGCTTATGAGTTTTGTGTCAAGAATGAAAGTGTTGGTTCATTGATGTGGGTTGGGGTACATATAACAAACCCTAACATCTGTACCCCTTAAGACAAACCTCACTACAGGCTACAACATTTGACACACCCCCATAGCCTAAGTGAGGGGTGTCAAGCAAAACCAAAAGTATACGGTCACAAGACCAGTCACAAAGAAACAAAGCTCAGGGTGGACCACAACGTCACCACACACTCTGAGCACAAGCAACAGGGGCCACAAGGCCAGTTCGAGAGTTCATAAGTGTGTATAGCAAGAGTACAAGCAAAGCAAACAGTAGACTCAAGCCTATACACGACTAGAAACTCTGTCAACAAAGCCTAACTGCACACAACACCTCTGGTGGTCACAAGGCGGAAGCGCCTTGGTGAAGATGTCTGCAGTGTTGGCCTCGGACTCCACAAACTCGAAGCGAGCCTGTCCACGTCTCTGCAACTCTCGCAGAAGAAAGTACCTGACGTCAATGTGCTTCACTCTGTTCTCCAGTCGCGGCTCTCGACAAAGGAGAATCGACGCCTTGTTGTCAGTGAACAAGGTCGGTGCACAGCGCGGCCGCTCACCAAGGTCGGCGAGCAAGAAGGTCAACCAACGCAGCTCTTGTGCCGCCATAGCACCAGCGTAGATCTCAGCCTCAGCCGTAGAGGTCGAGACCGAAGAGGAGCGCGTGGACCGCCACGAAACAGCTCCAGAACCTAAGCTGAAACAGTACCCCTGAGTAGACCTATAAGTCTCAGCGTCGTCAGCGTAAGAAGAGTCACAGTGACCAGTAAGTACGACAGGCTGCTGCCCTCCAAGAATTAGCCCCACGCCTGATGTCGTCGCCAGGTACTTCGCCACCCTCACAGCTGCCGTCCACTGAACAGGACGGTGTCTCCCTGGTGCAACAAAGCGAGTAAGGATGCTGAGAGGGAAGGCGAGGTCCGGGCGAGTGCAATTCATCAGGTACATGAGGCAGCCCACCAGCTCTGCGTAGGGACCACTAGACTCAAACGGCTCGTCAGGAAAGGGTCTAGTAAGTCTGTGGTCAACAACAAGAGGTGTGCGCTGTACTGTGGAGTGCTGAAGCTCGAACCGCTGAAGGACCTGCTGCACCATGTGTGACTGTGAGAGTGTAATGGTGCGAGCAGCTCTGTCCCTGGTGATCTCCAGGCCAAGGTAGTGGCGCAGCTCGCCAAGGTAGTGGCGCAGCTCACCAAGGTCAGTGCACGTGTGTCTCTTCTGTTGTTCGGACTTCACGTCTGCCAAGGCAACCCTGTCAGCAGTGGCGAAAACCAAATCATCAATGTAGACCAGAACAATGAACAGTGTGGAGCTACGACGAACGAACAGCGACGGGTCGGCAGAAGTCGGCTGGAAACCGAGGTCAGACAGGGTAGAACGAAGAGGTGTCATGCCACTCACGAGGAGCCTGACGAAGACCGTAGACAGGTCGCCTCAGCCTCTACTGGGTCCCAGGAGGGAATGTGTCAGTGAAGACAGAGGGACAACGCAACCAGACCTCCTCGTGTAAGCTACCCTGAAGGAAAGCAGTGGAGAAGTCAAGAGAGTGCGGCTCGTAGTCTCTCTATGCTGCTACGTGCAGTAACACCCGAAGAGTGGTCATCTTCGGGGTAGGCGCGAAGGTCTGAAAGAAGTCAACTCCCTCGCGCTGACTGAAACCTCTAGCCACGTAGCGCGCCTTGAAGATCGGAGGAGATCCCGGTGGCCGCTTCACCCTGTAGATCCACATGCCATCGACTACGTTCGCCCCGGGGGGGGGAACCTTGTCGACGTAGGTGCCTATGGATCTGTAGGAGGCCATCTCCGAGTCCATGGCAGCTCTCCACTGAGAGGCCCAAGGCCCTGACACTGCCTCAGCGTAAGTGCGAGGAGTCGGTATGTCAAGGGTGTCGGGGTCTCCCTCAGGGGCGAGCAGCATGGCACAGAGATGTGGGGAAGCGGCTGCCAGGAACTCTAGCTCAAACTGCCTGTCCTCTAGGACGTCACAGCTAAGTGAAGACTCACCCTCGACGGCCAGAGGACTGGTAGGAGGAGCAGCCACAAGACCGGTGGTGTAGTCAAGGCGGCGAGTGGAGGCAAACTCAGTGACTGCGGCAGTAAGGGCGGAGACAGAGGAGACAGAGGCACGAGGGTCGGTAACAATAGAGGCAAGAACACGAGAGAGAACACGACGGTACGTGCGGTAGTAGTCAGTGATAGGAGTAGAGAGAGAAACAGTGAAGGCCGACTCAGGAGGAGACGGAAGGAGAGACGGAGATGAACGAGGCGGACTAGAATGAAAGAGGGCAGTACGAAGGTCAGTAACGAGAACAGGAGACGAGGGAAGGGTACGAGGGGAGCGACGAGAGGCCCAAGTCTGAGGAGGAGGGGACAACGGAGGCTGAGAACGAGGGAAAACAGCCGAGGAGGGGTCAGGAGGAGGAAGCGGATGACCCGAGACGGGAGGAGAGGGGGAGGAGGAAGGAGAGCGGGAGGGGAGACCGAGGGCCCGAAGACCGGAGACAGGAGGAGGAGGCGGCGGCTGCTGCTGCTGCGGCGGCGGCTGCTACTACTACTGCGGCGGCGGCTGCTGCTGCTGCTGCTGCGGCGGCTGCTGCTGCTCCTCCTGCTGCTGTAGCGGCTCCAGCTGCTGCGCCTCCTGCTGCTGCGGCTGCTGCAGCTACTCCTCACGGGCACGGCAAACACGAGCCTGGTGCCGGGTCGGGTAGGGGTGGGGGGGAGGAGTAGTGTCGGGGGCTGCGGCAACCCCGGGACCGCCCTCCAAAGCACCTAGCGCACCACCCCCAGAGTCAACACCACCAACAACAACACGACCAGGCTCACCAGGACCCGAAGAGGGTGCATCCGCACCCCCAGACGTAGCACCCCCAAAGTCAGCAGGACCAACACCAGCTCTCGGAAGAGAAGAGTCTCCTGCAACCACGGGCTCAGCTCCAATTCCAGCACCCCCAGAGCTAGCACCTGCAGGGCCCTCTCCACGAGCACCGGCTCCCGCAGGGTCTGCAGTAGGCTGCGAGGAGGACTGCGGGGAAGGAGGCTGCACCTGAGGGGCTACCGAGGGGGGAGGGGTAGCCTGGGACACACCTGACGAGGCGGGACCAGGGGGGGGAGGTTATACCGGGGGAGCAGGAGGGGGAGCGAAAGTAAGGAAGAGAGGGGGAGGAGGAACCGGGAGACCTCGTCTGGGGGTACATGACGTAGTAGGGGGTAAACTCCTCGAAACGGACGTCACGAGAGTCAAAGAACCGGTGAGAGGGAGGGTGGAAAAAAGTGAAGTCAGAGGATTCCTCAGGGAAACCAAGGAAGACACAGGGAACGGCGCGAGGCGAGAGCTTGTCCGCGGAAGTGTCGCGGACAAGAGCCAAGCAACCCCAGACACGAAACCTCGACGCAACACCAGGGGACCCGGTCCAAAGACTGGTCGGTGAAGCCTCTGGCGGAGAGACGCGTGGCCAGAGGTTCAGCTGGTGAGCGGCGTACCTAATCGCGTAGGGCCACAGAAAATGGGGGGCACGGGCGTGAGTCAAGGAGGTGCGGGCAATCTCCATGACCAAGCCTATGCGGCGCTCAGCAACCCCATTCTACTGTGGGGACTCTGGAAGCGTCCATAACTTACGAATGCCCTGCTCGCGACAGAATCCAACGAGAATGCCATAGCAAAACTCACCCCCACGGTCAGAGTGAAGACAGCTGACACGACGACCACGAGTGCCCTCAGTGGTAAGCAACCACGTGATCAACGTAGAAGCCACCTCAGACTTCTTCGCCAGGGGGAACACTATGGTGTAGCGGGAGTAGTCGTCAATGACCACCGAAAAGAAACGCTCGCGCTCAGGGCCAAGGCAAAGGGCGGGGCCCCAGACGTCCAAGTGGAGCGTCTCAAAAGGCTCGGTGGCCGGACGAAGGGAGGAGGAACGAGGGGTGGCGCGCAGCCGTCCCTCGACGCAAGGACCGCACGGCAGTGCAAGCGAAGGCGGCAGCGACGGCAAGACACGCGGGAGGCCTAAGACAAGACGCTGACGAGGCATAGCGCGCAGACGAGGGAGGGACGGGTGCCCCGTCCGATGGTGCCACAGAATGGCGGGGTGCGCAAGCGACCGGCAGGAGCACGACGCAGCAACTGGACCAGACACGGGAACCTGACCAGACACAGCTACCTGGGGGGACGCATCAACCTGGTGAGATGCCGGGACCAGACTGGGGGAAGTAACCGGGGCCGGGGGCAGGAGTCGCTGCTGCTGCTGCTGCTGCCGCCGCCGCTGCTGTTGTTGCTGCTGCTGCTGCCGCTGCTGCTGCCGCTGCTGTTGCTGCCCACCAGGGCCAGTGTGAAGTGTGTAGAGACCAGAACCCGGCTCG